TTACTTCATACCAGGTGCCATAATTTTACAGGATGCTTAAGACTGTCATTTACCAACATCCTAGTAAGGTATTTCGTAAAAACTTGGTAGTTTTATTTTCTGATGTTTGCAAATGTTGTATATTCCCTTTAAGCATCCAAACAACTATTAGCATTTTTTAAGTAGTAAAAAAGAAAAAGTAAATGTAAAAAATATCAATGGAACACCTGATTATTTTTAATTGTATAATAGCAAATTAAAGAGGGAAATGATTTAACAAGTAATTTAGTATTTAAAGTTATTGTCCAAGGTTACATGCAAATCTCCTATTTAATATGTCATGTACATAATCTGGAATAAATGTGCATACTTTGTGCATGCGTAATTCCGTTACCGTAATTCCGTTACCGTTTCGTAATTCCGTTACCACTTGGAAAAATGCCAAGAAATTACTATTTTAAAGTTTTTATTTTTCATTTATGTTTGTAGTAGGGTCTTTTCTCAACATACATGATTTGAAGAAAAAAAACAAGAAACTTTGTGAAATAAGTAACTTTTGCCATTTTTTCGGTAACGGAATTACGTGCTAATTTTGACATTTTTAAATGAAGGCCTACACTATATATATATATATATATTTATATTTTAATTTTTTTTAATGACCCTGAGTAATGTTAGTAACTTGTAACATCATAAAATAAATCAAATCTTTTCCCTACAATTAAGAAAGTAATACATACACAAAATTTTATTTTTTTACCAAATCTGAACGTTTTTAATCATAAATTGCAAAAATCACTGCTTTTACCAGAAATATGTATTTTTTTTCAATTTCGTTTTTTTAACTGAATTCCCCATTTAATTGAGGTCTGGAAAAAGTACAAAAAAGGTTTAATATGTAAATATTTATTTTTGACATTTTTTGCTCTCCCATGGAGAATTGCCCATTGTACATTTTTTGTCATGCACAGGTACATGTATACAACGTACATGTACATGTTCCTTACGCATACTGTACATGTCAATATACAGTACGTACATGTACACGTCAAAATGCCTGCACACATTAACATGTCGAATTGTTCGTCAACACAGTGTATGCATACAATACACTTGTACTACCTGTACATGTACAATACATGAGGGTACAGCACAGGCACATCATGCATTGTACGCGACACCTCCAGACACCTTTTAACCCTTTGTCTGCCCACACGCTGTTTTGCATGAAATGGCAGGGCAGCCAATGGCTCCCTAATCCTGCCACAAATAAAGAGGGAATTTCCCCCAAAACTTGCAAATACACCTTCTTTATGGGCCTGTTTTATGCGAAGTACAATGTAGATGAACACAATGTAGCACAGCCCTAGATTTTATGATTGTGAAAATCAGGATCCCAGGGGTTCAATGCATATTGTACATCTCGTGAAATGATTTCCCAAAGAAAATGTCATGCAGATCTACATTGTACTTGTATACATTGTGTACGTGTTCTTTTCAAAACAATTTGAAAATTCGTGTCAAATTTTAAGAATGTAAAAGGGTGAGGTCCAAAATTGACGAATAATTTACCGTTCCAGGTTTGTCTGCCAGAAAATATGAATAAACCTCATTTGTATGCACCAAGCCTTTATAAACCATAGGAGTTTAAATAATCTGGAGTTTCAAATGCAATTCAAGCAGAAATGTCATAATGGTTAGCCATTCACCTGTATGTAAACAATTTATATTCGGCACTTTTCTCACAACAACAAAAATGGCAAAAATGCCTACAAACAAGTAAACAAACAAAACTCACACAGGTGTGAGTACACTAGGACTGCATTTCTGAAACTTTGATCTTCCGTCCCATTTTTCATGTCCCCCCCCCCGGAAAAAAAAAGAGGAACAGGAAATATATCCGTGTTCAATATGTAAACCAACAGTGAAACTGCAAAGTTCTTTGCTGTTCAATAAACCAACAGTGGAACAGCAAAGTGAACCGAAAGTGACAATCAGTAACCTTTGCCCATAGAACAATACAGCAAAAATGCAAAAGAAAGCGAAGCAAAAGCAAAAAGTGAATATATTTCAAAGTGTACAAGTACATACATACATGTACACATATGAGTCAATTGTCCAACAAAAGTTCCTTTTTCATTTTTGTTAAAGCTGGTTGTATGTTTTCATTATCCCTAACTCCCTAGCGTCTTTTACTAGGAACTGGACCAAGTCCATCAAAATCCACCAATCACTGTGCGTCCAATACAAAACTGTACATGACATAATGGAATCCACCATTGACGCACTGGTTGACATTCATGGACTTGCTACACATGGCTTTTATCACAATGGCACTTACAGGAAGCTAGGCAAAATCAATCCGATACCCCTAGCACTGCTTCAGGCCATTAGGTCCAAGTCCAACATACTCCATCAATATTTAGTCACGCCAGGCCTTCTGGACCAAGTCCCCAAAATCTACCCAAATAGGGGATGGATTTTGATGGAGTTGGGGTGGTTAGGGTTAAACATGTACACTGTATGAGTATGTAGATCTACAATTTATGCAACATTGGCTAAAACATTTATGCAGTAGCTTTTCTCAAAAGAAGTGAGTAACAGAATGGTATTATTGGTTACAATATGTCTAGTTAAAGGTAGAATGGACCATTTTTCATTTGTGCATTTTGTTCGTTTGAAGCAACAAAAGTGCTCAAAATCTAACTTTAGACGGGTGCTTAAAACAACTAACCCGATGAAGTTTAAGCTCTGTGAACGTGTGTGCTTCATGTCAAAACTTGCACCCACTCACGGATTCGCCCAACTACAAACGGAAATTTCCAAAACTGGGTCACTTGACACATCGTTGGAAATGACCTTCTTTTATTGTTTTCTTCAAATTGACAGCATCCCAGAAGGAATAATTTCACAGGGAGTTTAGTGTCATTACTATCTTTAAACCAAGTAAGTTTTTAACAATAATTTGGTCGGTTACTTTTTGGATAGCTGCAAATGGTCCATTCTACCTTTGATACATGGCACCGTTCCAATAAGCCACTTCAGCATTCCACGTATGCAAATCAAGTCACATTACGAGGGGGGGGGGGGGTGGAGTTAGACAAATGTAAGAAAGTTGTCCAGAAACATAATATCTCTTTGTGTAAACGTGCCCTTGGAATATCGAACTGGCCTATTCGGATCAATTTAAAAAAAAAAAAAAAAAAAAAAAAAATTAAAGTAATCAAAGCACTACTTCGATTAGATGCTGTTAAAAATGGTTGCCATGGAAACAAGAAGCAGGAGATCCACGGGAGGAGGGGCAAGCGAGGCAACGAACTCATGGATTCTAAATTGTCGTATTCCTGAAACAAAAGTTTTGGGACATGAGAATTTTGTGAAACCTCTCATGCCGAGACAAAAAATTGATATAAAATGAGACAAGTACAAAATAAATGTCTCTTCTCAATTTGTGGGGTGAAGTTCCCCACTTTGGTGTCTCGTTTCACCTCCCTTTCTTCCTACCCTGGACTCACCCATGAATGAAGCACGAAGCGCTCAAAAAAAAAAAAAAAAATGGTTTCCAAAAATGATGAGAAACACATTTGACAGCATGATTTGCCTCGAAGCATTTGTGATCAAATTATTAAATCAAATTTCCAACGAGGGCTTCGGTGAAAGATGAATTTAATTCCCTAATGTTTGCTAGGACAAATGTGCACACATCCAAATTTATATAAGTGATGTGCTGCCATTTGTGAAATGATTTTAATCTACGCGTACAATTTATGCATAATCTAACGACAACGAATATTCAACACTGATTGATTAGTGTCTAGTGTCTTTAAGCCATTGGCACGTACGTGTGTCTTTTCAACTCTAAGTTTGGAATTTGGAACATCAATTTAATTGTCTTCTTGGATGGATTTTCAAACTTTCGCTACAATTTTGCCAGTTGTTCAAAGGTTAAAAACTTCAACCCTCAATTGATTCGTACAAAATTGAACTTGAAATTACAATTGTCACACCTAAATTTGCATGTTTCTTGTTCATTATCTTGTATGATATCAACAGACAGAAATGCACTGGACATTTTGACTGAATTTACGAATTTGTCTTAAAAAACAACAACTCAGCATTACACAGCAGACCTCTTGGTTTGCTATGTTCAGCTTTTGTTGGTTGATGTTGTTAGACAATATAGCAAAGGTGCAAGTATATCATTTACACATGTGCAACTGTTATTACATGTATGATTCACGCTGCTATCGACACCAAAGTCGGATTTGAAGGCAGGAAGCCAGCTGATAATAACATTAGCTTCGAGGCTTCATTACGTCGTCGAGCGGGTTTCACAAATGGGTATTTTAATGCCACAAACATGAATCAGATGAATCTGAAATGTCATCGGATGATATTTACGACATACTGTTCACACACGAATTGATTTGCATGATTTGCCGCATGTACGTTAAAATTTTTCACTGTTTTAAGTCCATAAAAAGGCTTGTTCGTACTTGGCACGAAGCAAATGTGACCACATGTATGTATGTGAAGGCATGCAACTGGGAATTGTGCACGAGGAAATTCCAAACCACACAAGACTTTGTACAGTGTTTTTCAATTTGTAATGCCATTCATGAGAAGTAAAAACCGAGGAAATCAGCGGATCTGAGGAAAAGTTGCATGCCTGTATGTATGTGAAATCATGGCAAATAAATCCACTGAAAAATTTGCAAATATTGAACGCATTACCACTATAGTGTAGTTTGCTGCAAATGTTTTGAAATGTCGAATGTGATGTACGCATTTGCTCGAAGTACGCATGTACGAACCAGCCTTGATGAATTCCAGCAACAAACTGAATGCGCAATTAGATTTTGTTACCCAAGAATAAATTTGTGTTATTTTTGTTAGAAACCAAAAAAACAAAAAGGTTAGTTAATGGGAAAAGCAGGCACGCCAGGGAAGGAGGGAAGGGGAGATTTAAGCACACCAAAGGGTGAAGGAAAAAACAAAAACACTCAAAACAAAAAATTTACTCTTGTTTGCAAGGGCTGCCTCTCGTGCCTCTCGTGCCTTCTTCCTACTTCGCGGTCTCCAAGATGCAAAAGACCATCGACTCCGTGACCGTTCCTTCATGACAATAACATGCAGTCAAAGTAGGACGCAAATCCCCCAATTTCTTTTTCAAGACTCCGGTTTTATGTGGTCTGGAATATATGCAAGTGCGACCAAGTCGATGTGGGAACAGTACGTACTGGGGAGGGATTATTCTTGGATGGCGAGCGATTTGTCGTTGTGCTCGGTCGATGCAAATTTTATTTTGCTGTGCTGATTTATGCTTCTGGAAAGAAAAGAACAAAATTCTGGGGTGTTTCATGCAGTGAACCAAAAGAAAATAAACAACTGACAAACACAAAGAAAAGAAAATAATGAATCGAAACAAAAAGATAAATGACACGGGGAAGGTGAATTTTTCTTCTTTAAAGTCAGACTGGTTAACTGCAATGTCATAAATCTTCTGACGTTTTTATCTTCCGTTTCTGGACTAGCACACACCGACAGCCCAACCTCCGTAAATCCTCCAAAATCCGTTGCATGTTTTTTAAGTACAGCCACAACGTTCAGCTGTACAGTGCATGTACACATGGATAAGAGAGCAACACATGTTCAAGTGAGTTTGCAACTTTGCAGACTTTACAAGAGCACATGACAAATCTCTTTGTCGGGTGAAACTCCATGCGTCGGCAGTGTGTTCTGCCTGTCACCGGGAGATTGAGGGATTTAAACATCATGTGAACTGGCGAGACTTTGCCTGTTGCCCATCAGATGGTTTTAAAGCCATCACTACTGCACTGGTGGTATTTTGGAGGATTCGGGAGTTTCGTAAGTAAAGTACTCACTCTGTGAATATATACATGCAAAGAATAACAAGCTAAAAGTAACCACACATTCTGTAAATAAATGTGCCTGCGTGCCGCTAAAATTGTGCAACAAGACCAACATGTGCAATAAAAAAATCACAATCCATCCAAGCAACATGTACAATCATGCAAAATGCATTCTCTGCAGGGCTGTCCAAATTTTGAATAATTAAGTATTCGATTAATCAAAACTGTGCTTGATGGAATATTCAAATATTTGAAACTCGCCCAACAAGTTAACTGTGTGCAGCGCCGATGAAAAGTTGCACACAAAGGGCGCCATTTAAAATTTGAGTGTGGCACGGTGATCGCTATTATGGGCTGCTCGCGTGTTTTGCAGTAAGCTTTTATAAAGTCAAAGGCTTTAACCTGCTTAATTGATGGGAACAATGAACAGTAATCAACAAAAATAATACAGTCGACAAAAAAGTGGCATCTGGCAACAAAACCAGCCATGCAACTAAAAATTTTGAAAAAAAAAAAAAAACATGGAAAAATTCTGTAAACCACACAAGACTTTGAACAGTATTTTTCAGTTTGTAACATTCATGAGAAGTAACAAAAAATGAGGAAATCAGCGGATCCGAGGAAAAGTTGCATGCCTGTAAAGCGACGCAATTTTAGGATCAAAATATATGACAGTCGTGTGTGTACATACATGAGTAGTTTTTTTTTTGAATACTCGAACCGGTAAAAAGATATTTGAATATTCAGTTGAGGATCGAAGATTCAAATATTCGGTGTATTCGGGACAGCTCTATTGCTCTGTGGGAATGAAGGATATTAATAGAGCAAACCAAAATAAAACAAAGCAAATACCTTAAGCACAATCTATGTGGGATACCAGGAAGGAAACAGTCAAAGTCATTTCTTTGGAATAAAACAATATACAAAGGATGTTGCAATATATCCTGTAAACACTCAGGTGACGATAATGGGAAAAACATTGTTGCATTCAGCGTAAATCAGAGAATTGAAAACAGTTAAAAAGCCTAGTCATACTAATACAATACTATTTTTATTTATTTTGTAATTATCCCTTAGACTACCATGCAACTGCATGGATTAATTAAAGGGCTTATACAATGTATTTTTTTTTATGCAATCCTTCAAAATGCACCACTGTTTCCCATTTTACCTTATTTTCAATTTTTGGTTGGCCGTTTTCAAGGGTATTGTGGTGCTTTTTTGGTTTTTATGCTAATGCAAATTTCCATATTCATGACCAAATGAGATGTCATTTCAGCCAGAAACCTCAATGTTACAGCTATCTCAGCACAAAATGTTATTAGAATTTTGGCTTTTTTGCTGTCTCGTAAATTTTCTTTTCTTTGGTGATTTTTTGTTGTGTGAGTTCATGTCAGAAAGCAAACATTTCTCACAAATGTTTTCAATGAGCAAACTTTGTGTTCACAATTTGAACAGAAAATCTGCTGAACTGAACAGCGTCTTCCTGAAATGACATCACAGCAACAGCGCCATCAGTTGTCCAGAAAAGCATGGAACATTTTTAAATGTTTAACCCTAACCCCTAGAGTACTTTTAATAGAAAGTATCCTGAATCCGCCAAAATCCACCTATTGTGTCACGCACAAAAATGTTGGTGTGGGTGACTGCTCGGTATGAAGGTACAATGTATCCTGAATCCATCAAAATCCTGCAGTACCGCTAGGCTTACAATCCTGAATCCATCAAAATCCCCCTGTTTTCAATATGAAGGTATCCTGAATCCGCCAAAATACTCCAAAACAGGTGTAAGGTTTTTGATGGATTCAGGTATGTAAGGGTTAACCCTAACCGCCCTGAATCCTCCAAAATCCTTTTTGCAAATTGGAGGAATTTGCAGGATTGAGGTTACATGGCAAAAGTGCGTTGCTGATTTTGGAGTACGCACTGTGTCAAGGTCTTGGGCCGGACCTTGTGTTGTTTATGCTCAGCCGTGCATAAATTTAGTCCTTGATTATACTTGACATCCTCCGCACTGCTCCAGGATGTCACTGCCTCTGCCTCAGCCTATTGACAGTTATAGCTGGAGGATTTTGCAGGATTCAGGCAGTGGCCATCCCTCCATGGACCATATTCAAGAAATAACGGAGGAATTTGCAGGATTGAGGCTATATGCTATTTTTCCATGAGGCCAATTGGAGGATTTTGCAGGATTGAGGCTACATCCTAGCAAAAAGGCCTAGGGAGTTAGGGTTAAAGACGTGCACTTTTTAATAAAATTAACCAAAAGGGATGTCAAATAGTTTTCATACATTTGAGAGGAGTGGAAAGTTGCACAAAATGTGTTCCTAAGAAAAATTCATTGCATGGGCCCTTTAATATTCTCTACACTGAAAATATTCAGCTGAAAACGTACACCAGTTTGTTAATGTTAGTGTACAGTACATTGCACAATGTACAATTTGTACCTTGCATTCAGTGTACACACGCAAGTACATGTACAATGGTATTTCCGTGAAAATGGAGTGTCAAGATAACTTCGTGTATAAATCAAGGTCTACCAGATCGTTATAGATACAATTAACTGTGCATAATCAATCTGCAAACAGTTACACATTGACTCACTTCTGAACACTCAATATGGCTTCTGATATCAACGACAGCTGTTCAGCTTCAAGTACATGTGCACGATATTGGACAATAAATTAGTATAAAAATAGTAACAATAAAAACACCCCCTCCAAAAAAAACCCCAAACCCACATTCTTTCAGCAACTATGTTTAGCTTCAACTACATGTGCACATACGATATTGGACAATACGGTAACAAATATAAATAAATTAACAAAAAATAAAACCAAAATAAAATAAAATATAATTTAAAAAATAAACAAAAACAAACAAACAATTCTTTCAGCAATTATTTCTGTAATTTCAAAGACTAAATCAGCTGGGAGATTTCAAAGGTATCTGTTTAAACTTCTGTGTGCACGTTTTGCATTTTTTGCACTTTGACAATCCTTTTCAATTGTACCAATGTGTCATGCATAAACTTTCATTTTCGTCTTTACTTTACTAGGTCAAACTTTCAACTTCAAGCAAACCTTCTAAGTTCAAAGTTTGTGATTACGTTTTCACACTGTTTTAGAAAAAAACCCAGTATTTTATGTGCACGGCTTCTGCAACTGCAGAAATGTTTTTCACAATATTTTGTTCCTCTTTATAAGGGTGTATGCACCACAAATGAATTTGTTGAAGAATATTAAAGACGGCTCATTTTCAGACATCACCACAACTTGTTAAAATATTACAATATGATCATAAATCTACACATGATGAACAACTCTGTTTAGGAAAGAGTGTAGTATTGAGACACCACTTCATTGGTTGTGTACAAAGTCTATGGAGAACCGAGTGCATTTTCCAAGTATTTTCTAACAAAATTGGAAATGTTTATCACTCAGTCCCAGATTCATGTCTTTTCAACATTTATGCAATGACCGACCTTCACCGAGACAATCGGGATGTAACATTCTTTCCTATGTCAAGACTACCAGATACCAACGGTCACACATGGGATAAAAAGCTCATTGCTTCCTGCAAAGTTCTAATGACACACAAATGTGTGACAGTACATCTGCACATTAGGAAATTACCAATTGAGTTAGCAGTTAGCACCTGAACTAAAAATAAAAATTAGTAAAAATCCTTGAGCAATTTGTGTCAAAATCTGTTTGGACTTACAAGATCTCCTGACAAGAAGTACCCCAGACGGTAGGCGTTGCCGTATTTCAGCATCACCAGCGGACACACAAGACACTCTTTTAGCAACTGAATCCATAATTCACAGCTCTAAAACTATTGAGATGCTATGTTTTGTTTTTTCTCTTTTCTTTGACACAAGCTTAATACCTTCACCAAGCACCTAACCCCGGAAGGATGCACGAACCGGCCCGGGACATTCCACATAATTAGGGGCGGTTTTGAAAAATCCTACTTTTATTTCCAATAAAAATAATTTGATAAATACAAAAAAAATATCACAATTTAAGCGATTAACAACATCATTAATATAAGTTGAACACTGTCACAAGAATATATGTGCATATTTGAAGTATTACAATATTTTACGGTAAATAAAGCTGAAGTATAAATGTGCACCTACCGCTTTTACGAATGGTATCGTCCATCAGACATGTTGCTTTTCTACACACACAACATACGCCGAGTCTAGGGAAATGACTCAGTGATAACGAAATGTGGGCTCGTTTTTAAAGGTCCACCCACCGCTAAAATTGACCGCAAACGGGACCCTGACGGATCCTAACACCAAAAACAGTTCCACACGTTGCACTTTTCAGTGCTTCGTTCATGGAAATCGGTATATTTCCACGATTCGTTCCGCGTCGGTCGAGAAGTTAAGTATCCCCACACACAACTACGCACACATATATGTACATGATATGCATGCAAAAATAATGCATGTGCAAGTGCGATGACCTTGTAATTAATCCCCCAATGCTCAAGCGTTCTGATTGGTCTACGCAGTTGCATAATCAATATTTTACTACTTAACGCGCCATGTAATTAAGTGCACCTGCCATTAAAACTGTTCAGATTGGTTTCTGAAATAAATATATTGGTATATTCTGCGCTAAAGGAAAGGTATTGATATGAACACATTTGCTCATTGTATGCTAAAACGAGCATATTGCTTGTCTTATAGAAGGCGGGCTTTGCGAAACTAATGTTGGGAGTTTGTAGCAGGGTGGTGGCAGTTCACCGGTACTTGGTAGATCTGGGCCGGGCAGCCAGGCAACGCCCCCCTCCCCCCTGCCCCTTCCTGGAAAAAAAAGGTCGATTTTTTTTAATTTTTTTATTTAGGAGGAGTGAAGTCGAATGCTATTCCTTTAGTGGCCAATTAATTGACTTTTTTTTGCCGACATCAAAGATGTATATCCCAAAAGAGTGTCCGTCTGACTATTTTAAAAATAAAGTCTACAAACCATTAGGTCATTTTTTGAAAATTGTTGGTTGAGCAGATGCTCCTGAGCCTTGGCCTCAACCCCTATGAGTTTCATTTAATTTCAGTCAAGCATCACTGCACAATTATTGTCAAATGATCACAACAATATCTGAGACAAACAAAACTTAGCGTACACATTGGACCGATCCAGTAAGCCCCTCCCATTGCGCACGTGGGCAAATTAACACGTGCTCCTCTCCAATGCCACACTGCATTTTCCTGCCGCGCGCGTCATACGCGCGTGCACGCATGTCGGACTTTTGTGCACGCATGTCGGACATAAATCACGGCTGTGATTGGTCAGAATACCATGGGGGCGGGCGGTGCTTACTGGATCGGTCCATTCCACAGGGTTGTTGTCTAAGGGGCGTGGCTAACTCGCAAACGGCGTAAGGTCAATGCAATAATATTGTGCAGCGATGTGTGACTGAAGTTTAAAATGAAACTAAGGCCGTGTCCGAAACGGGCTTCCAGAGCTACGGCTACGTCTATTGTCAGCGCGTCCCCGCGTATTTTCAATGGGCGCAGACCTAGACCTAGCTCTAGCCAACTGATTCGGATGCAGCCTCATAGGGGTTGAGGCCAAGACTTATCGTGAGTATATCTGCACACCCAAACAATTTCAAAATTGACCTCGTGGTTTTGCATTTATTTTAAGAACAGTCACACGGGACACTTTTTGTGGGACATACTGTACTCGTAATCGGCTTGATGTTTAGTGTGTTAGTGGCACTGAATGCGTGGAGTGAGACTGTAGAGCTAGAGGCGCATTGATTTTAAAACTGTTTGCGATATTGTTTTTGAGAATGATTGCTGAAATGCTTAACCCCCCCCCCCCCCCCCTAAAAACGCAACTCCAGATACGTACATGGGGGCTATAACCCGACCGAACCTTTGAATTGACGCATTGAGCACATTGAGGGCGCACTTCCAAGTTGCCAGTAGACCCAAAGTTTTCCCAACCGTTAAATAATCTTTAAAAACAAATTGAAGGTTAAGGGCGGTTTTACCATGTATATATTGTTCCCAGGCAAGACAAATCAACCAACCATCCAAAGGCCTTTTCATTTTATTGCGGAGTTCCTATGTTGTCTTGCAACATTGATCTATTTTTATTTTTTTTTTATGGCGTGAAATAAAAAATCACCAATGAAAAATTCAATATTGAAATTTGAATCTCCCAACGCATAATTACATCGTTCAATAACTTACTTGCACTCTATCTCTTAATAATATATTCTGCAATTGAGAAATTGAATACATTTTTGATTGTATCATATTTTTAACATTTTATACAAAATTCATTGCATGCGAAGGCGCTCTCTGACTGTCCCGGTGACTTCCTTACATGCAAGTCTATTGGTAGAAACTGATATTCATCAACCAATTGTAGCTGCTGTTTCATTTCTCGCGGCATAATATAAAGGCGCATGCTCAAATTTGACAAGTAATTTGAACTTTCACCCGGACGGCCGCTAGCGAACCGATCGTTTTTTCAGGTATGTTTGTCATTTTTTTCCCAAAGAAAATTGTCTGTTTTAGCCACTTTTGATTTTTTCTAAAAAATAAGAAAGTTTACTTAGTTATGAGAGAGTTCAACCCGTGTCATTTTTCGAAATGTAAAGAGTATTTCATCGCCTTTTTTTGAGGTGCAAAATGCGACTAATTTTACACGAGTCGATTGCATGCAATCGTCTCGTGGAAACTCGTCGAACTCGAAGCAGTTTATCTGCACTGCAGGCTGTTATGGAAATGGTTGGTAAAACCGACACATGGACTTAGTTGCTATTTCAATAAATGACCGAACTGTCATCATGTGTGTTTGTCATGTTTGACACACTCACAGTCAGTAGGCCTAAGTCATGTAAGTCATAATGTAGGCCCTAAGTCAGTCACCATTATTATTTCCCTTTAGTTTTAATTTTAAAAATCCGCTAAAATTAAAGCCGGGGATTAGGCCCTACGAACGAAGATGAAGAACTTAAGAAAATGAAATGTCATGAATGTAGGCCCTAGGCCTAGCGTTACTTAACTAAAAAGAACAATTTGAGTAGAAAACACAAAAAGTAAAGAAAATTATTCAAATTTTTTTTTTGAGCAGCGTGGGAGTGGTTTTGAACCCTGATCCCAACACAGTCATGACAGTCATGACAGTCATGACAATTGACAGTAGTCGAATGTGTTATCTAATCGAGCCACCGAAGCATTCTGGTTGGACGGGTAATGGTGTATAAATGTTATATTCGCAATGGTGATGTTGCAATACCCTAGCTAATGATACATGTAGCATGAGCAGTTGAGAATCGCATGACGGCTGCCGTAATGATACTAGCCACTACGATTTTGTATGCATTTAACTGTCATGATATGTGTTTTTTTAATAACAATGTTTCTGTCCTGCAGCAGTGTAACACATTTTTCAGTGGCTAAAGTAACGGCTGTGCTAACGGAAGTGTGTTTTGGGACCCCTTTCCTGCTGTTAGCCAACCTACCGAGTAGATTTTAAAAGCAATAATCCTGCCATGGAATATGGAGTTAGAGAGAAATTAAATGAGAAAGATTCCCTTATCTGGCCATCACTTCACTTGTCACCCTGTGCACAAACCCTATGAGACTGGTATGAACATTTCTAAGTGTTTTCTTAGTAAATACTTAAAAAGTTTCCCTGCTATTCAAATTTTGACTTTCTTAGGACATTGTCACTTTTCGATGGCTGATACTAGTCGCTAAATGGAAAAATTAGTGATGGTGGCCAGATATGGGAATCTTCCCATTACATGACGAAAATGACGACAAAACACAGCACAAAATGAAGATGGAGAGTGGCCCAGCTCATGTGTGATGCTATTGCTGTGACAAAATTGCATTGATTTCCATGCCATCAACTTGAAAAAATTGGATGATTAACTCAATTTTTTGGTCAAAATACTATTGCATATCTTGAAAGCAATTGGAAATGATGATTGCTGTACATAGGTTGCTGTCATTTTATAAGAGCTAAGAACTGTTTTAGAACTACAGAAATAGAAGGGTCCTAAAGTAAAGTACACTTTTACCAGAATTGCAACATACTGGTTCATGTAGCATTGCAGATCCATAGTAGTTTTGCTTGTTGGGAGTGCTATTGTATGGACATGTCCATACTTGGTACTTATGGTTACTGGTTATCCTCTTTAGAACTCCTCGAGGAAGTCTAACTAAGAGGCTTAGAGAGTGGCAAATTAAAACTAAATCAGGGATTTGAATTGATTGTGGTTTGGGGCATTGATGACATCTTGGGGTAAATTTGTTCCATTTTCTGACAGTTCTTGGTAGGAAGGATTGCATGTAGACATTTGTTCTTGCGGTGATTTCATCAAATTGGCAGTTGTTCCCCCTCCTTTGTCTGTTACGCTTTTGGTTGTAGTGCATATGGTTGAATGTTTACTGTGTTGTTGATGACCTTGTGCAGAAATACTAGTTGGTTTGATTCCCTCCTCTCTTCAAGTGATGTCCAGCCCTAAGGTAGCCAACATGTGCGTTACGCTACTTCTTCTTGAAAAATCCTTGCAGACGAAACGTGCAGCTCGCCTCTGGACTCTTTCAAGCGAAGAGATGTTTTTGGTGACATGAAGGTTCCAAGCAGTGCTCCCATATTTGTCTTAGGTTCTGTTCTCCAAGAAAACGTTTCTATAGTTTCCCAAAAATATACATTGTCTTCCTTTGATTGGGTTTTAAAATCAAGTCATGTTTATAACTGAAGTAGGCGTCATAATTGTTTTAAGGGAAGTAAGGTGTCATTTCTGTACAACAGAATGTTGGCCATTTTACTGCATACAACTGTATGCCTTAATTTGTTCAACTGTACTTTACACAATTAACCCATCCCTAATTGCAAAATTCACAGAGATAGGCATCAGAGCTAGTGTTTCCTAATTAAAGTTGATGCTGTCTATAACTGTCGATGCACTTTCCATTAACATACATGTATAGATGAAGGTCCTACATGTACATGTACATACTGCAGTGCAAAATCTGATGATAACAAGCATGACAAGTGTAGACATTGTACATGTATGTGGCAGTCATACTTCTGTGCTGCTTGTAACTCACACACACACACACCAGTTGCTTTCTAATTTACTGTAATTACATCATTACAAATTATGGTTAAAGGGAATGTACATCATTGGCTTTCGCTGTAATTTTCAGAAATGAACTAGTTGAGGGGTTAGGATAATAGATCAAAATATTGTTACACTGACATGTTTGAAGTGTTGTGTCCAAAAATGCTGGAAAAACCAAGAAAAACAAAAATGTTCAAGTAGTCCGGTTCCCTGACTCCACTAAAGATGAAATGGATCAATTTATTGATGCCAGAAATTGTAAGGTAAAGGAACCAGTCTAGCTGGCCTGCACCCGTTCATGAACATGTAACCAATAGCAAACACAACTTGGACTGAAACAAATGGTAAATTTGGAGCAGTAGTTGAAAAATGGTTAGGTTTTTCCAACGGTGGTCGGCCGACCACTGTTGGAAATGTATACAAAAATACCATTTTCTTGAAAATGACTTCACACCAGGAACCATAATTTTACAGAATGCTTGTGACTGTCATTTACCAAAATACTAGTAAGGTTTTTCGTAAAAACTTGGTAGTTTTATTTTTCGATGTTTGCAAATGTTGTATTTTCCCTTTAAACTGTGAATGACCCTGATTGCATGATATACTCATATGGCATTCAAAAGTATATTGGTTCCTTTGCATGGGCCATAAATTGTTGCTTCGACCAAAAAAAGTGAGTCCATTTAGTGAAATTACTAGCAGAGACTTGGATGACAAAAAAAAAACAAGGCTTTTTCGGATACCTATTTTTTCCTTCAAAAATTCAAATATGACCTAAATGTGCACATTTTTTTCTGTGCTAGTGGCCCACACTTTACACACAGTTGTCCTTTCTCTTTTTTTGCACAGGTGTATTTGATGAAAAGCTGTAGTTGAAATGATATTAACTGTTTCTATAGATTCAATGGTTACAATTTCTATCCCGCGTCCTTTTCATAAAATTTAATTCGCTTCATTCAAAATGCCGAATTACGATCGATTATTTGTTGTGTGCATTTGTCAAGCACTGCCGCACAAAAATCATTGTTCAAAACTGAATGGAACTGCTCACTGCGTAAATTACAGTTTATAATTTGCTTTTAGGAGAAGGTCAGAATGTCCCATGGGGTATGATCCATGGTGCTGCAGCTCGGCATGACCGCTTCAGTCTTCTGCGCAAACACCCGCTCTATAAGATTGTAATTTGATTATTGTGGGGCTTCCCAGTTGAGTCATACCTCGGCCTAGCTGTGAAAAAATGATGAAGTCATGTGTAAGCTTGTACATGGCTCACTGCTACAGTGGTGTGATAATATTCTATGGTCATATGTGACTGTCAGGCGTTCTGGCAAAATAAGAAGGAACTGGGCAGAGGTCGAAATAAGGGTCTGCAGGTATAAGGAAAGAGAATAAAATTCTCCTATAAGGCAAAAAAAAAAAAATATTTGGTCTCTGGTCAGACCGAAGTTCCGGAATTGACGCGGGGACGCGGCTTTTTTTTTTTTTTTCAAGCTTGGATTGTACAGACAAGGTTGGGTACTATTTTGCTTTTTTGGTGTCCTCATGTACATTGGTGTCCTCCATAATTTGCCTTGGTGCTCTCGATCATTTGCCTTGGTACAATTTCCCATTCCTTGGTGCTCTTTGGTAAAACAAATTGAGGAGGTGCGGAAATAGAGGGCGCTGTTGGAGCTACCGCAGAACATTTTGGAAAAAAAAGATCGACGCGCATGATTAAAATCGACGCGCGCGCTGACCAGAGACCGACTTATTTTTTTTTTGCCTAATACTGTTGTGTTGCACTTCAATCAGACATTCCATTGACAAGATATGGCTGTTTAAACTTTGCATTTATCGATATCAAAATAGTAAAATACTGAGAAAAAGGCCTTTAATACTTTTCAAGTTTTGTAGTCATGTAAATGAAAGATGCCAATTGTATTTCCTTAAAAACACTTTTATTCCCCGATTTTTAAACTTTTTCTTTAGTACATAGCAGACATACATGTATCAAAGATGAAAAATATCAATAAATCTGAAAATTGGGAAAAAAAATCATCCCCATTCGGTGTTTTGCTTTTTCTCCACTTTGGCCTGTGCCCAGTTCCATCTCGTTTCTGCCAGAATGCCACACATTATGTGTTTGTGTCGGCTTCAGGGAACAGGGTGATTTTTGTTATAAAATTACCACGTGTATAGACTGCAGTTTGAGACAGTTGAGATGTCACCATCCCGGTGTGCATGCCACATACAGTATGATCTTATGTTTGACCGATGCTCTTGCATTGTGGCAAGATATACTGTAACTAGCATCTTATTGTTTGAACTGGAAGGAATGTTGAACAATGAGTGCGATGGGGAAGCATTCTCCATGTTCTGAGCATGTTGCCATCTCAGTCATGTCATCTACATGTAATTGTGGTCGGATAAGTCTACATTTGTGAACATACATGTATTTCTCCTTTCTCATGTACATGTGTGCATGTTTTTTTTTGTATACTTGTCTGTTATCACATGTTGGTGGTGCAATACAATGTACATGTACATGTACATGTAGGTGCATGCAGACATGGTATTGGTGGAGGTACAACTTACATGTATGTACATGTACATGTATGAACGTACACATGTACATGTACATACATGTACACGTGCCAAATGTACGTTCTGGCATAGAGGAAGTACATGTACATGCATGGTGGTGGACCTTGCAATTCAACAAAGTACAATGATGTTTCATGTAATCAGTACATTTGAGCTCCATGCCTGCCTGCTACCACGGCCCCTGGCTGGCAGCCATATTGACATGTAATGATACAATAAGCATGTAGTGTTCTACATGTATCATTTGGTACTTGTACAGTAGTACAAGCCTGTATGGAATTACATGTGATAAATAAAGCTGTACATACAACAAGTACAAAATACAGTTGTGCAGTACATGTAGTTCAGCATCTCAAAATTCAAAGTGTATTGCATTAGGCCAAAAAAAAAAGTCTCCGGTTTCTGGAATGGAGCTTGCCCAAAAAGTGGTGCGGCGATTTTTTTGCTTCAAATGTCGGCTGATGACTGCAAATGGTGCCCGACTAAACTTAGGCAAATATACAATGTATGGCAGTCCAGAGAGGCCACATAAGGCTTATTCTCGACCATAACCCAATCTAAAAACACGTTAAAATTGTGCAGCAGCAGGATTCCAGTCAAACCAGTGAGTTTGGCGGTTTTGAGACATCATCTTTCATCAAAAAACTTTTTCATTTTGCCGACGTGCATGGCTACGGCGACGCGCGCGCATACCAGAAACCGGAGACTTTTTTTTTTGGCCTTACATGCACATGTGACATGTGTACATGTACATGAACTATTTTTTCTTGGCAACCTTACTCATCTTAAATAATTACAAGATACATGTACTTTTCACTCAAGCAAGAAATTAAAAGAAGCAGTCACTGAAAACACAAATACATCACAACAAAGTTCACTTCAGTGGTAAAATCACGAGCCCTTCCCCCAGACAGTACATGTGTACCCTGTACTACTCCCATGATGCTGTATCATATGTGTCAGCCTGTTTACTATTTGAGATAATTTATTGCATTATTCCCCTCTCATTCCATTCCTCATTATTTTGTTGGCCTGTCCCAATATGAGAGGGTGCTGCAGACATTTCAAGTTGATGATGCCCTTGCCCTGAAGGTTATGTGCATGTATATCTACAGATTATCCTGATGAAATGTGCAATTCAATGATTAATTCCATCCCTATAGTATTGAGATATTTCTGAAGGGCAAATCTGTCATCAGATTGTTTTCATTGCTGAGCTGAATGATCTGATACCATAGCATTGTCCCATGTTGTTTTGTCAATTTTTTTTGTAAGAGATGTGAAGGACACTAGGATTTTAGTTCTAGTAATCTACCCATGTACATGTACATGATGTACATGTACATGTACACGTGCATGTACATGTACACGTGCATGTAACTCGCATACTTATGTACATGTGTGTATGTATCAATTTCATGTATTTACATACATACGTACTGGTAGATACTGCTTGTATTCTTCTATTTTATAAGCAGAGAATTTGTACTGCACAAAGTGCATTGCGATGCACATTCATTTATGGCATGTATTGACACTGACAGCACTAGCAGTCATGTAATGTATTGTACCGGTATATACACATACATTTGTATCTACATGTACATGTACATGTACATGTGTGTCATGGTATCATGTACATTTGTGCCTTTGTCATGTTTGCGGGCCACAAATCACAATGTAATGGAACTTCCTTTCATACTTCTGGTGCAAAAATGTAAATGGAACAGTAATTTACATATGTACTTGAGTTAAATTCAATCAACACAGTCATTCCCTAGTGGTGCACTTGTGCATAGCTTCTCAGTACAGACTAAGTACAGACTGCATGTCAGAAATCGACTTCCATATAGACTTCATTAATAACATCAAGCAATGCGGTGACTCAGCCCTCACACACAGACACACATGCACACAAACACCCACGTTGGAATAATCTAAGACTGCATCCCCCGGCCCATGTGCATGACGTGTGACTCTTCATAATTTATCTCCATCGATTCCCTGATTACACCACACGCGCTAACTTGATTGCGCATACCGCCGTATTTGGACTTTTCACTCCAGAAACGGGCCGCTTGGGCCCAATTTTCTGCACGGTTTGTATGGGATCGTCTGTTATTGATTCGGACGACAAGACTTTGGAGGTGAACGGGCCTATACATGTACATGTGTACATGTACATTGTATATTGTATGTTGTACAATGAATGAAATGTGCACATGTCCATATGTACAGCTGTCAGAATACTCAATAAGAAAAAAAACAAGTTTCTTGATTCTGTTTCGAGGCACATGTACATGTTCATGTCGTTGATTTGTGTTTGAAGCTTTAATCAGGGGTGTGAAATCTCAGCTTTAAAGCTTATTTCAGCTTCTTCTTTTTTTTCTTTTTTTTTTGGATTTCAGCTTTTTCCCTCACTTGCTGTGTACAAAAGTATAGGAGATTTCCAAAATTCAGCTTCTTTACACCTTTTTTCCAGCTATTTTCAGCTATTTTTATAAGTGGTCACTCACACCCCTGTTTAATAGACACAGCATGTACGTGTACATGTGTACAATGTACATGTATGTAAGTCCTACTGCCTACTGCAATGACCAGATTAAAGTACAGACTTTTTCAAATTGTAAATAAGATACTGACACCATACATGCGTGTTTACTTTTCTTTCATACCTCAAGTGTAACCATAACCCACCTCAATCCTCAAAATCCTCCTTAATTCATCCTCGTTTAGGAAACAGGATGAATGGTGCTTAAATACTCATCATTTACATGTAGGATAAAGGATGAATGGTGTTTGAAAAACCACAACGATTTTGGAGGATTGAGGATGAATGGTGTTGAAGCGCAAAAGGATTTTGGAGGATTGAGGATGAATGGTGTTGAAGCACATGAGGATTTTGGAGGATTGAGGATGAATGGTGTTGAAGCACAAAAGGATTTTGGAGGATTGAGGATGAATGGTGTTGAAGCACATGAGGATTTTGGAGGATTGAGGACGAATGGTGTTTGAAGAGGAGGAGGATTTTGGAGGATTGAGGATGAATGCATTTTGAGAGGCAGGACTGTCTGACAATTTTGAAGGATTGAGTCAGTGGGTATCCTTTGTTTGAACATAAGTGCAAAATCTTGGAGGATTGAGGATGGTTCCTAGCAAAAAGGCCCTAGGGGTTTGTGTTGAATAAAGGCAAAAATGTCTGTCAACGTACATGTACCTGTACATGGATGTAGACAGTATTCAATAATGTATGCATGTAGGACATCCAAATTTGCATACAGTTCTAAAATTTGGGGATTCTTAGATCAAGGGGGAAAAAATGGCCCAGACACTTAAACTTTGTTGTGATTGATCTGCGCGACTGACGTACACGCACGTAGATTACTTGTATGTACGGTATGCAGATCTCTGTCAAGTACTTCTTCCACTACCAGGACAGAATAAATTTACAAGTTTTGGCTGCATTGTTTCGTCTTGTTTTTATGTACATTATTATAGGCCTACTGTTTGATTTTTTTTGGGTTTTGTTTTTTTATAGGTAGAATTGTCTCATCAACACATTTATCAAGATGGCCGATTACAGCGTAGTGAACGTTATGAGTACGAACCAGACCACAGACAACCTCAGCCGCGCCGACATGCTGCTGTGGGTCAACCAGTCCCTCAATTTGAAATACACAAAAATTGAAGAAATGTGCTCAGGTAAAGAATTCAATGAAATCGTGTTTCTTGGGTTTTTTTGTTTGGAACGGGGTCAATGAATGGGTATTTCGAAAGAAAAGGATTCACAACATTGAAAATGTTTGGGAACTGACGACTGTTATAAAAATAAAATTGTTGACCTCAAAATCCGTTCAATCCATCATGCAGATTAACAATCGGGTAAATTCAAACAGTGGAGTCTGTGACTAGACTAGTCAGTGTTTGGTACCAAGACTTGCACGCTCCATTAGATGAAGTAGGCCACTATGCTTTCTGTTTAGATTCTGTTGGATCCAGCATTGTGTTAGAGGGAAAAAGTCTGGAGGACTGATAGTCCTACTGCGCTTGATATACATACATCTCATATTACAGGTATTATGACATTTTCAGGACCCATTTAAAACCCATCTTGTTTGACACCTGTTTTGACAGGCGCAGCCTACGCCCAGTTCCTGGACTTGCTCTTCCCCACAGCACTAATCAGCTTGAAAAAGGTCAAGTTCAACTCCAAACTGGAGCACGAATACATCCAAAACTGGAAGTACGTCCAGGGCTGCTTCAAGAAAATCGGCATCGACAAGGTAAGTAAGTGTTCATGTTTGAACCCAACTCTGTAGCCGTACCGGCTCTTGGGAACAATACGCGCTACGCGCACTGCTCAACGGGCGCACCAGCATGCATTTGCACTCTAAATACCGTGCCGTGGAACAAGGATTGTCCTAACTGTTGAATAGTAAATCCCATTTCACCATGGGCGAATGGGACTTGTTGAGCCCTGGCGTGAATGGGAGCAATAATGAATGTCACGTGATGTGAGTTCCACCAATCAAATGACAGGAATCTGTATGTCAGTTATATAAATCGGTGTGTATGCACTCCATGGACGATCTTCAGATGGTGTGTTTTGGCTTTTATTTACACATGATTTTGAATACCCAAATAGCCACACAAAAGCCATATTGCAGCTTTCTATAGATTTGTGCAAAACAAACATGAATGGGCCTAACAGCATACATGTAACATGTAGTTAGCTCTCTAGAAACTCGACATAGATCTTTGCCTGTGATTGACTTAATGGACTTTTTTACATGGACAGCAGATGACAGTTTGTGACCACTATCGAGAGCCCCAGTGGGCAGGACACACTGCATGCGCGTATTGGTTCGTTTGCACACGGCGCAAAGTACGCGCGACATATTTTATTCTTATCGTGAGCATTATTCAATGTGTTCGAATGTCACTCCCCGTGGTCTCCCCAAACTCTCCCTTTGTAACCGTTGAGGGGGTATTTGTGCACAGACTTTCAACGACCTGATTGGGGGGGGGGGGTCAAGATGTGACCCGGGCTTGAATCCTGCACAGGCCGCCATGTGGATTGGGTTTTCAGTCCCTACTGATTTTCATGGGTTTTGACTGGAAAATTCCTCTGGAGTTTTCCTCCCACCTCTAAAACTGCACATTTTCTTCTTCATCATCTTCTGCATGCTACAGCACATGTGCACTTCATAAGAATCCTAAGTTTCACAACCGGAAAGATGTATATAAGAGAATAAAGAAAAATTGAGACGTTTTGGTTGTTGTTTAACCTCCCCAGGTTATACCCATAGACAGACTCATCAAGGGCAGATTTCAGGACAACTTTGAGTTCATCCAGTGGTTCAAGAAGTTCTTTGAGGCCAACTACCAGGGCGGGGAGTACGACCCCATCTCGGCCCGGCAGGGCGTCAAAGTCAGCACGGGGTCGGGGCCCGTCAAGAAAACTGCTCCCACGCAACGAGCAGCACGTGAGTGATCTAGACAGATTCATAGTTGAAAACCCTAGATCCATCACAAAATCTTGTCTGAGAATCAGACGTTCACGTGTGCAGAGCCACACTACAAATGCCTGATATGTCCTTGCATGTAAATTTTATGCAACCCTGTGGGCTTAACCAATCGGAGCCGCCCTTAGAAAATGTGCGGTCATTCTAAGCGGCCAAAGCTGTTGATTGGTCAGTAGCTGTTAGCTGACCTTATCACATTAAGCCAAATGACTTTCTCACATGTCCTTGGGTTACCGGAGACAAAAGAAGGCGCCGACTGAATGGTCAGAATCCGGAGTTCGAGACACGGTGTTGTGTTGCCGTTGCCGAATCAGCTCACAAAGAGCACACAAAATCTGCCAAACAATCAAAACTCGGGGACTGTATCGTACTATTGCTCAACCCGTTTTTGACCATCTTACGACCTGAGTTGTTTTGGTGGGTGTGGGGGTTTGCGGAGAATTTGGTACCCCACGTCAAATATTTTGCCTGATATCTTTTCGAATGAATGCATGTACTTGATGTGTTATTTAATCCTGTGTTGAATTCAATGTTGTGTATATATACAAAGATTTAGACCATGTTGCAGCGGAATCTCCCAAAAAGCTAAAGCCAGTGGTCGCAGTAGGTAAAACAAACTAAGAGTATTTTACGTTGACAAATTTTGTAATAACACCTTTGTCGCCCTTCTGCACTTTTTGGGTTTTTTTCTCCCGGTGCAGAGTCCACTCATACTTGTATATATTTTCATAATTATCTTAATGCTAACCCTGCGATTCGCAGCCGTGGACTATCGTAAGTAGAGATTTTCTGATGTTTATAAAATGAAATCAATGCTGTTATTAATTGATGTTGTGATGTCGCTGACATGTTTTATGTCATTGACATATTTTATGGCACCGATGCACTGCTAAAGTCATCTTTAGTTTGATTTATTAGCAACGACCCAACTTCCAAGTTGAGCTCTGAAAAAAGTGGAAATTCACAATTTTTTGTTCAAACCAGAAACCAGTTGCACCAATTTGATTGTCCAAATACATGGAAATGCAAGGAAAATTTTTGAAAGGTTAACTTTCAAAAAATCATTATTTTGGAAAGAGTAGCTCGATTGATGGTACTTAAAAAGTGAAGTAGTTGAATCTCGAAAAGATGACAAAAATGTCTGATATAAATTAATTTGTATCAGTTAAAGTGGTTTTGTAGCCCAAATGTGCAACTTTAAAATCTGTCAAACATCAGCCAGTCGGTTTTCTCGAAAGAAAAAATGTATTGATACATAAATAACATTCATAAAAAGTGTTAACCTCAGTGTCAGTGTTCAAATATTTGATGAAATCGAAGTTCGAATAATAGAATCTTAAATTATCTGAAACGGCACAGCACTATTTTTAGCACCTGTTCGGTACGGTATCATATTGTTATTGTCATGTTGTCCATAAAAGAACCCAATTTTTGTTTAAACATAACTCCCATCCTAGCACACACGTAGGCTTATATCCCTAACCTGTTCACTGTTGACCCTAACTCCCTGGACTTTTTTGCTTTATCAATTATCAATTATCAATTTTTGTTTGAACATAATTCCCATCCTAGCGCACACATGTAGGTTTATATCCCTAACCTTTACACTGTTAACCCTATCTCCCTGGACATTTTTGCTAGGATGCAACCTCATCCTGCAAAATCCTCCAACTGCCTCCATGTAAAAATTGAATACAGCCTCAATCCTGCAAAATCCTCCGTTATTCCTTGAATGTGGTTTTTGGAGGGGTGACCACTGCATCAATCCTGCAAAATCCTCCAGCAATCACTGTCAATATGTTGAGGCTGAGCCAGTGACATCCTAGAGCAGTGCTGAGGATTTCAAGTATAATCTAGGTCTAAATTTATGCCCAGCTGAGCATAAACAACACAAGGTCCGGCCTAAGACCTTGACGCGATGCATCCTACAAAACTAGCTACACATTTTTGCCATATACCCTAGCCTCAATCCTGCAAAATCCTCCATTTTGCAAAGAGCATTTTTGAGGATTTGGAAAGGTTAAGGTTAATTCACCATGTGTTGTGAGTGTTGTGACTGTTCAACCTAGTTTGCATTTAACTGTAGATGTATAAATTCAACTCACATGTCACCATTCTTCAGTTTTGTGCACATTGTCGTGTCCCCCCCCCCCCCCCCCCCCCCCCCGAATTGTGAAAGTTGATGTTATCGTTTCTCCCACATGTTATTGTTGTGTTATGTGTGTGCACATTTATTACGTGACCTTGTAAAGTCTGCACAGTCGTCATTGTTGTTTGTATTGTCTGCATGTGGGTAAAGCATCCGTGAATAATTTGTACAAAAAATCTAGGCTATGCCTACTTTTATGTCGCACAAGAAAAAGTTTGATGCCATTTCCTCCGTGGCCACATGTCTGTATAATTTTTTTGGGCAAGCACTGAATCAACAAAAGTGAATGAAAAAGAAAATGGAACAATTTTACACTGGTATCCAAAGGTCGGTCATGTTCTTCTGTTTTAGAATATTTAGTCTTAGCACATAGCATTTCCGAATGTAAATATCCCTAACCCTGCTGAATCCAACAGGATCCAACTATATCATATACCCGATGGAGCCTATTGGATTGAGCAGTAAACCCCTTGGTGTACATTCCTCATGCAAAATGATGGATTCAGCAGGCAACTGAACCGCATTATAACGCATTGTTGGACTCCATTGGATTCAGCAGACAACTGAAAATGAGGCACAGTGGATTGAGCAGGAAAGTCCGGTTGGACTCTGTTGGATTTAGCAGGGTAGTCCAGAGGAAGTAGGGTTGGGGGTCAGGGTTGAAATGGTTTTAAAAAAAATGAAGAAGCAGAACAAAGTTTTTGAATAGTTCATAAGAAATGTATTATATCTGACAACCTTCCGATAATCCCCATTGTTAAACGTTACCTAATTGGTTCTTGTACCGCCCCAAACCGCCCTGCCTGTTACTCACTGTACCGCCCCAGCACTGTATGGTTTCATGGATTCATCAGGGAATAAATACAATGTAGTACAATGTAATACAATGTAGTACAATGTAATACAATTTAGTACAATGTAACACAATGTAGTACAATGTAATACAGTGTAACACAATGTAATGCAATGTAATACAACGTATTACAATCATGTCATTCTATTTTTTGCCTTTGATCAGAACCCAGGGCAGCCAGGCCACCAGCCCAGAGGGTGGGCGCCGCGGGAGCGACGAGAAACAACAACCAAGCTGCCAGGGAGAATGTGGAAGTTGCCGAGTTGAAACTCAAGGTCAGCGCTAATGAAAAACACTTCCTGGACTCAAATACGTCGTCGGTGAAGGGCAAAACCTTAATTTGATGGACTCGAATTGTTCTTGCAGAGAAATGATGCATTGGTTATTACAACCAGAAAACCATATCAAGAAAGTAGTTATTACAACCAGCAGGCCATGTCAAGAAAGAAAAAGTCAGGAAATGTGAAGATTTGTTCAAAACTGGAAATTCAACCAAAGAATGCATCTGCCATATTTGATTAAATTGATTTTCCATTTTCTTGCCTTTTTAAAATCTAGATACACCTTCATGTTTTCTACAACTGTATAACACATTTAGTGTTGAAGACATTTCTTTTGATCGATGTACTTTTCAAATTAACCACAAAGGGACACTGACTTGGTGTATTATAAAAAATAATTTTATGTTGAACAACGAAATTGACTGGGATGGGGTTTGAACCTGTGACCTCCGTATTGCAGTTCCGGTGCTCTACCAACTGAGCTATCCAGCCCTATGTTGGGGGTTCCCCATTTTGTCAATGCCTTTGTTCAAGGGGTGCTAGTCAGAAGCCATAAACCCGTATATGCCATGTAGCCAGGGATCACACCCAAAGTCACGATACTAGCAAAATTAAACCCAAACTCCCTAGCATAATTTACTAGGAACCATACCCATCCAGGCAAATTCCAACACCCACATGGGAAATCTTACACACACACACTCTTGGACTTAGTTTCTGAAGGTATGCCAAACCCAATGTAAAAGACCATCAGTTTAGGGGTGCTGTACCCATTCTAACAGATTTCAACAACACCTGCTGTTGGACTTTGATGGGTTGGGTTCGATAAGGGTTAACAATGCTGCAAACCTGGGAAATGGCAAACGGGGATCACTTAGAGAGGATGGCTTTTTATCAAACATTTTTGAAATAAACCACAAAGGGAAACTTAGGTGCATGATGTTTTTCATTAGTGCTTTTCATTTGTGGATTTTATTTCCCTCTGCGTCTCCCTGTTGTCCTCCAGGTGAACGAGACGGAAATTGCGATAGCCAGCTTAGAAAAGGAGAGGGACTTCTACTTTGAGAAGTTGAGGAACATTGAAGTCATCTGCCAAGAGCCCGAAAATAAAGACAACGATGGAATCTCGAGAATACTGGAAATCCTCTACGCTACCGAGGTAGGAAAATCAACTTCTTTTAAACCCTTTTTTTAAGTATGAATCTGCTTTACATCACCGAGAACTTTTTGCCGGGATGGTTCCTGAATCTTCCAAAATCCAGCGCTGAAAGAAACTAGTAGCACAAGTGGGAACGATTATTCCCATCAAATTTCCTTGTCAACAATTAAGCCAGTCCGGTATTTCAACTGCGCATGCGCCAATGATATGGGTCATTCGGGATAATCAAACGCTCATCAAAGGTGCGTGAACGTTCAGGGGGATGGGCGCTCGATGCTCGCGTGTCAATTACGAGCAGAACATCATGTCAGCGATTTTATCCCGACTGACCCTTGGCCTGGACTACTTTATCGAGATACCCAGCTGGCTTCTTCAAGTAGGTTTACACAGGGGTGTGAAATCTCAGCTTTAAAGCTGATTTCAGCTTTTTTTGTTTTGGATTTCAGCTTTTTTCCCTCACTTGCTGTGTACAAAAGTATAGGAGATTTCCAAAGTTCAACTTTTTTGCACCTTTTTCAGCTGTTTTCAGCTATTTTGATCAGAGGTCACTCACACCACTGTTTACAGAACAACACATTTTGTTGACGAGAAGCAGAGTTGTAAATGAGTCAGTCACAACTCATCACAAGTCAATCACAAGTCATCCAGTCTGGGCGCCGTCGATACCAGAATTGATCCAATTATCGACATATCGACCAACTAATAATCGATTTACAAAAAATTCAACGGAATTGCCAGGCACACAGCTACAGGCGTGTATTGGGCTGATGCACTTTGATAAAAAAGCCTGATTACTTACCGATACCATTTTCCCGTATCAAGTTTTCAATCAGCTATCGATATCACATTGATATCCAGTAATTGAGTAATATCGATGTATTGAAGAGGTCTAACTTTGTCTTAAAGTCATGTCACGGGCTTTTCAAGTGATCTATGGCAAAAACACTCTTTTGTTATTGTTCACCCCCTGTGGGCACGTGTGGTCTAGCGGTGGAGCACAGGATTCACGATTGTGGGGTTGTGGGTTCAAGCACCATCGTGGACATGCGTGTTGTGCCCTTGAGTAAGGCGCTTTACCTCAATTACTCCTCTCAACCCAGGTGTTAAATGGGTACCGGCATTATTCAATGCTGGGAAGGTAACAGACTCGCTGTGGAGGAGGTGTGGCGATCCCCCCACAGCAGCATATGAGTCTGGCCCAATCGCTAATAAAAGAGAGATGGGCACTCCGTTCCTGTGAATACAGGTTCGCCCCCTTTACCTTTACCCCCTGTTACTTTTCACTTGACTTGTGACTGATTTGTGGTTGACTTGTGATTGACTTACAGTGATCGACTTTGAATGAATCGATCACAACTCTTCCTACAAAAGTACCTTTTGCTGATTTGTAAGTCTATTCAACATTTTCATAGAATATCTCCCCTCAATTTAACCGCCCATCTCCACGATCAGCCAACCGTCCCCTGTATATCTCTCTCATCGTTTCTTTCCCCCCTCTTCTTTATTTTCCTCTCTCGGCACCGTCTGTTTCTTTTTAACTCCCCCCGGGTTTGTCTCACGTAGGACGGCTTTGCCCCTCCCGAGGACTTTGAGGAAGACACCGTTAGCGATCCGGGCAGCTATGACGATCACATCGAGCAATACTAGGGGGTTAGCTTACTCGTTCCGCCTGTCCAGCTTGCTTGCTTTTTGTCATTTGATTTCATTTCTTCTATTTATTTATTTTTTTTCGATTGGGCTCATAATTCATGCCCTCTGTTCAAACCTAGATGTACCCACCCTTGCCCCCATCCCTATGTAAAACCTTAACATGCGTAAGCATTAAAACAAAGGAAAAAGATACCTCAGGCTTTCCCGAATAAGAATGGAGGTTTTTCCTTATAAAGATAAATTCAAATGTCCTTGAGTTCGGTCCATAAAAATAGCATTGCTACTATCTGCATTTTGGACATAAATGTAAAATCCCTGTGCAAGGATGCATCCGTGACCAAAGAAACCTACAATGTGCACATCTAAAACTTGCTTGTGAAGGACAAAATAAAAGAAGAGAGAAATTTCAGTCAAAAAAACTTCAAATCCAAATGCTGCGTGCGTGTTTTCAAAGAAAATATTTTTAATCTAAAAACCACAAAGTTTTTTTGTAACTTTTTTATGTGGGGCGGTGTCTCAACTTGTTCCGTATTACCCGTCAAAAAGCATCCTCTTTCGTTTCCAAATCCTTTTATCTTCAAGATTTGTTTCTCCTTCAAATGTCTGGATTGATAAGTACTGATTCATTGCTGTCTCCAAAGTCAAATATCATTAGTGTTTTTTTTTGGTTTGCTAATTTTCTTTTCCTTTCTAGAAATACATGTACCACCTTGTCATCACTTCAATAGCCCAGCCCCTTTTGATAAATCCATAATCCCCAAATCCTCAGAATTTAGTCCGATATTGTGAACATTATATAGAAGCTATTTTTGTCTTGCTTAAATCGTGTCAATTGTGTGGTTTTGTGATCATGTACAAGATTTACTTGTAGAAGAGTTTTACTTTTCATACGTGCCAATCGCCGTCATTATAATTTGCAAAAAATTAGAAAAAGTTGTAAAAGTGTGCCATTTGTGAAAAGGTTTTTCTATGTTTACATGTCTTGAGTGTCTCATTGTTAACTGATTGGACCAGTCACCCTCCCTCCAAAAAAATCCCCCACTTTTTGACTGAATTCCTTAGTTTACGAACTCAACACCATGCATCCTCCAATATCAACGGACACTTTTTTTGCCATTCAGCCTCAATCCTCCGAAATCCTCCGAAACCGTCTGGAGGATTGAGGAGGGTTAGGGTTACCAGGTTCATACTTGGCCCGAATGCGAGCACGAATCTGTGAGTGCGACATCATGATAATGCACCTTGCAAGTTTGTAAACAGTTGAACACATTTCAACTCAGGCGAATATTGCAGTGAACGTTTCATGACGTCCATTTTGCTTCGCATTTGCATTCACTTGGAGTAGGAACCGGCCTTTACCAAAGCCCCAGTCACACATCCACGGTTGGAGCTACGAATATCCACGGTTTACCAAGAATCAATCGATCACGATGAACCATCGAGGTTCGTGGAGAAATCGACTTTCTAAAAATGCACTACGGTTTCAGGACGGGTAGCCACGACTGTCATACGGTTTCTCTACGAATACACCACGGTTTGTCAAGAATACAGACGGATTTGTGAAGAATATTGACGGTATTGCTAAGAATAATGACGTTAACGCCACGGTTGTCCGCGATTAAGTCACGGATGACCAAGGTTCTCCTTTGAAAAAAGCATGGATATTTGTAGTACAGCCTTAGCACAACCCTAGCACATCCGGGCACATCCGTAGGACATTAGTAGCCGCTTCGTTGAAATTTCTACCACGAATGAGCTACGAATCTCCAAGAATACGCACGAATAACACTACGAATACATACGGTTGTCCTACGGATGTCCCACGTTTGCACTACGGATTAATTTTCATGACGGTTCACCACGGAAGTTCTGAACAGTTTCAAATGTCCGTAGCCCCTCCACGATTACCGAAGGAAGATGACGGATAACCACGGATGTACTAAGGATGAATACGGTACTCCCACGGTTTGTCGCGAATTTCAAACCGTGGAGATCCGTAGCTCCAAACCGTGAATGTGTGACTGGGCATAAGGCATGTAAGGTGGTGTCACGCTCGCTCTTAAGTCGTACATATTGCACACGATCCTCGTCCTAGTAGGCTTTTTAGATGTGCATGAATGCTTCGAGGCATCTAAGCAAATGTACTTTGTGAGTGACACGGACTAGACCAATATGGCGGCCAGATTGTTTGAAACAATGCAATTTGTTATTCATCTTCATCTACATGTATATGAAGCTTCTTATATTACAAAGCTCCTTTTGGTTGCATGTTTAATTGAATTATTGATTATTTTTAGTTTTTGTTTTACATCCCTCTTCGTACATCTTTAGTTGCGCTTGTTAGTGATTACGTCAATGCTAGCTGTCATTCTGTGGAGTCGGAGTGGGATGGGGAATATCCCACCCAAGCTTTGTGTCATAAAAACGAAACTTTTTTTTTTGAAAATTACATACATGTAGGGTTGGTAATGATACTAGTTTCTCACCAAAAGGTCTGTATCCTTCCGAGGTCACGATAACGATAAGCATCACGATACGTGTACCTTTTGTGCACTGCAGTAATAAGAGATAGGGCGGGTGTTTGAAATGTACGCATTTGTTGCATTCTTCCAAAAATTGTCCAAATGCCGTAAGTGTACACGTTTCCCTATTTTGATGTTTGCAACTATTTGAAACTGCTATAGTCGTTAGAGTTGTTCTCGAATGTCCACTTCAGAGGAACATTTGTAAGTGTTGACAATGGACCGATCCAGTAAGCTCCGCCCAGTGCGCACGTGGGCAAATGAACACGTGCTCCTCTCCAATGCCACGCTGTATTTTCCTTCCGCGCACATCATACGCGCGTGCACGCATGTCAGACTTTAGTGCACGCACGTCGGACATAAATCACGGCTGTGATTGGTCAGAACACAATGGGGCGGTGCTTACTGGATCGGTCCATTGTGGCCCTCGCGTGCAAAACCAGTCTCTTGGACCAATTTTAAAAAAACTGGGATTTTGGGCACATTTCTGAGACAACAAAACTTAGCGTACAAAACCTCCATAGGGTTGTCTAAGGGGCGTGGCTAACTCGCAAACGGCGAGAGGTCAATTATAGGCTGTTATCGGTTTTGTGCCGGAGTGTTGCAATTGCAAGACGCGTTGTCCACACACAACATTGGTGTCTAAAATACCCTGGCTTTTGTCTAAGGCCAACTGGCCAAGCGACAAAGGCGGAAGTCTCCTCAACTCAATCTGTTGTTTTTTGTGTGTCTTCTCCAGGATGGTTTTGAGGCGCCGGAGGGCGAAGGAGGAGAGGAGGAGGAACAGGCGTTTCCGGGAGAGGAAGGCCTCATTGATGATGGTGATGAAGGCCAATATTATTAACTAGTCTAACTTCAGGGGTAAAAAAAAGAACATTAATCTCAACTGTCTCATAGTGTGGTGTCCAGACCCAACTATCAAACTGGGCCTGATTTCATGGCTCTGCTAACAACAGAATTCCGTGCTTACGATCACCATTTTGTGCTAACCGCGCTAGCAGAAAAAAATTCTGTGCTAACCCGGGGCCAATTTCACGGCGCTGCTAAGCACACAATTTTCTGCTAACAGAGCCGCCGTCTATTTCAAGGAGACCGTAAGCATAAGCACAGCAAAAGGCAAGCTTACTTCGGAGGACAAATTTGCTTAACTTAGTGACGTAACAATAGAAATCTCCATGCACCTTCAACCGTCAGCACATCCACGCAGTGAAATAGTGCTTAAGGTTAGCACGTTTTTCTGCTATGCTAAGCACAACTTTGCTGCTAATTGTTAAGCAGCGCCGTGAAATTGGGCCCATGTAAGCACAGAATCCTTAGTTAAAGGGAAGTAGGCCTACGCATGCGCACAAACAAAAATTCCTCGCTAATCTGTGAAATACAAGTATCATAAGCACGGAATTTGTGGCTATAGTAAGCAGGGAATTTTCGCTAACGGTAAGCAGAGCCAAGAAGTTGGACCCTGACCAGTGTCTCAAACTGAGCCCTTGGTCTGAAATGGCTGTTCGGGCTATGGCTAGAAGTGCAGAAGAAAGTGTAAAAAATATGTAGCCGTAGCCTTGAAACAACCAATCCAGACTTAGTCCGAGACCCAAAACAGACACCATGTTTACTTATAGTGAGATCTGGGGCCATTTTTCCACGGAGTTGTTATAATACTTTGAAATGCTGGGGTATTTTTTAAACTCACTATAAAAATGCAAGGGGAATGGTAAGTACATATCAATACAGTTTTTTTTAAGCAGTAATATATGAAACTGCTCTCTGCACCGGAAGAAAATTGTCAAATTTTGTTTTGACTGGATAGCCGCTAATATCATCAAGTCCCTAAAATTGACATTGTAAATATTTAAGTGGGCACTAACGACAAAATTTCAAAGCAAAACACAAAGTGGTCATAATGTAATTGTACAGTATTAAGAGATTGAAAAAAATAATATTCGCTTTCAACTTGCGCCATTAATAACAACAACAACAGTTAATGACACTTGTAGGTAAATGATGCAATCGGTCGTTATCTATTTTAAAAAACAAAACAGCGAATTAATTTTTCAGAGCAATGTTGAAGAAAATAACATTTATTTAACACAACCATTTTCCATCTGTCATGAAGAAATTGCAAGTTGTCACAAAGTAGCATTTTAACTTTTAAAATATAAAAATGGCAACTGCAATAGAGTAATTTGAATACAGAGAAGATTAAGAAACCGTCAAAACTTGAAGATATCTCTGGTCTTTAGATTTAAAAATCTAAAGAAATATGTTAATGCATGTATACATTTGTGGCTTACCTTATAAATGCCGACACTTCATTATGTTTCGTGTTATCTTTAAAGTGTTTAAGATAATAGAATCATAACCATCGTAAACATGTATTTAGAATGCTGGATAATGCCTGCCTGCCTACTTAACTTGAAAATATACAAATATAGCATGGTTTGAGGGTGGATAGTCGATATTAGCTCCCCTCGATATTGGAAGTTAACAAACTATTTGCCTCGGGAACTAGTTTGTCAACTTCCAATACTGAGGGGAGCTAATATCGACTATCGCCCGAAATAAACCATGTTATATTTGTGTTACTATACCTCATACATATACATATTCCGTTGCCGAATTTTCCCGTTGCGGTATACGCACCTCCGCATAAAATCTTCAGAGCAACTTGGCCAGCTCTCCAGAAGAATATTGCTCAACCTCAAAAAAGTTTAGCTTTTTGCAATACAGTAGCTTCTAAGAGTTTCTACCGCATTGTGGACAACTTTTTTAGTTTCATGTGTAGCGAGGGCGATGTTCGCGCGTGCGTACTACACCTCTGAGATAGCCCCACCACGATTGCTTCGTAAAGCGCATGCGCACTATGCATGTGTATTTACCCTGTGCGTGAAAACTCGAGTGCACGCTTCGGTAAACACCAAAAGTAAGGACTGGCACGTGATGGCAAGTGGACCAGTGAGAATTTGGCTCTCGATCATGAATATGTAATGAGGTGTAGTAACACAATTTATTCAACCTCTTAAAAATGAATCATATGATCACAAAGGGACAGCATTGTTCTTAAGTGGTATGGCAGCTCTATTCAATTATTTATCGTTTGTTGTAAACATTAGTTACAGATAACCGAAGAACACATACATTTTTACAATGAAATTTGCAAGTTGTATAATTTTGCATGGCTAAAATTTAATGTTGAATGGAATATTTGATATCGGCCATTCGTTTCCATTGTATTATTTCTTGATGTATTGCTCTTCCAAAGATAGGGGTGGCCATATAACATGTAATGAAAGATGTATTTTCTTTGGAGATGGTTCGTGTTTTTTCCCAGTGCAGTGTCTACTGTAACGCAAGCGTGATTGAAGAAAAGTTGATATTCACCTTCGCTTGTATCCACAGCCCCATACAGAGCGCTGGGAAGGGCTAATCTCTTTGAAAAGATTCTGTGAAGGAACCAGAGGTGTTGCAAAGCATTGTGGGAAACTTGTGGCCTTAATCAATGGACGTACATTCAGCACGCACGTCACGCGCGCACAGAATGGGGACCTGTGTCACAAATTGAAGATATTAGCCCTTCCCAGCGCCCTGTTTTTGATGAAATCAGTGGGTATGAGTGAAATATTCACCTAGTACTGTGGGGGCAACATGTGGCTGGTTCCCATTAACCATTCACCTCATTTCCTATGAAATGTGAAGGTTACCAGGGAACTGACACTCAGACAAAGCATGGTGAACCCTAGATGCCATGTGTGCAGAGATCCGAAATAAAAATCAGTCATCGGTAGACATAGGGTTTGGGTATAGTGGGTTCCTAACATTAATTTCTCAGTACACCACGGGTTTAGTTTTGAATTGTTCACTTAGATAAGCGATCACAACAAAATAATATTGCCCGCATGCTATGCACCAGAAATCCAAATGTTAACGGTTCGACTGTAGATTTGGCGAATCGTATTTTGTACAAAGTTTCGATGTCGTTTGTGTTTTACATCATGACCAGTATCGATAGGTATTTTCAGTGTGGTTTTGAGCTCAACAGTTAGAGGTCCGTGTATGTTAGCTATAAATGGTTTCTCGTGCGATTACAAAATGGAAAAACATGGCAGTTGCAAGATTATAGATGTATTGATGGAACCTGTCGAATTTGACATAAAAAAATAACTTAACCCTCCAAAGAACATAATTATAAAAAAAAGGAATTTTGTTTATGCATTTGTTTTTGTCTTTGTCACATACTGTTAGTTGTACGATACTGGCAAGTTGCTTTGTGTACAGTGCCACGCAATATATATTATTTTCTGTGTATATATATAATTCCACTCAGTAATAAGTTTTCCAGGCCATTTATACCCTGTTGTGTTGGTTTATATCAAGCGTGTTTTGTTTGGTTTCTTACGTTTTGCCAACCATGTTACAGAAAAAGAAAATATCCATGTGATTTTACATTTTGTGCCGAAAAAATGCATGTGTTAAAAAATAATAATTTGTTCGGAGAGAGAGTGGTGTTTCTAGTGTCTTAATTTGTGTCTCTGAAGTGGTTACTGAACTCTTTGTAGTTTACACACGTCATTAATGACGTCATAGCATCGCCTTGGTGAACTTTGACCTTGGATCAACTGATTTGAATATTTACTGCACATGCACAAGCTTTGGTGTTCAGCAAACCACGGCTTCACGTCGGCGTCTTGCGTTATCCTCGTTATTATGATTCTGCGGTCCGATATGAAGCCACAGCTGTAAAGAAAGAAATCCGAGATTTTGGAAATTGCCACGGGCACTCGCGCGTTCTGCGTTTGCGCATACATGTACTCGACATGACCAATCACACACGGAAGTACGCGTCGTACTCCCACATCTCAACCAATCAAATTTCCGATCGGAAGTGCACGGCCGTTTTCTGTTTTCGTGGATATTATGTACGTGAGGGCATAACCGAGTTACTGAGTCCTGAAGCATATTAAAACGAAATTTATATGTATGATTACCATTGCCTAATAAAAAACAAATCATCCCTAAACACAATAATAAACATAAAACAAGGAAAGTTTCCAAATTTATTAAGAACTTGATCTTTTTTTATTTGCTTCAGCCTTACATTTTAAATAAATATACATGAATTCAACTGTTTCAAATTGCTAATTACGAAACGCATGCTGTAGACAAGTTTTCAAGTGTCGACAGTACATATGCAATTGATTTAATAAAATAACTAGCATAGCAATTCAGTAAAAAAAAAGCAATTAAATTTTATTTGTAATAGATAATTTGCGAACTTGTTTATGTTTTTGATTACATTGTTATCATTTATTCCATTGCAAAATAATCGATTTATTTTAGGCCTATACATAAAGGCACTTATAGGGCACCGTTTGTGTGTGAAACTGTGTTAAAAATGTGGCACCAAGCTTTGCCAAAATGCACGATCCTGCGCGTTTCTGAAAAAGCAACCACTTTCACGTTTTGTTGAACGAGCCAGCCCTTGATTAAATAGGTAATTAGTCTATTGGTGCTATCACGTGCTGTTTGAGTGTGCGGCCCGAAACGGTAAGTTTTCAAACTCAAGTTCTGTATTTAACATCAGATAATAGTTTTAATTTTCCAATGAGGCATCGGCCAAAAATAAGTAGCAAATTAGATAAATTAAAACTTTGATTAATAAAAGAAGCGTCCTGCGCCTCCTTGCAATTATCAATTTATATCGCTAGTAGTAGCAAAAAAGTGGAAACCATAAATGTTTTGGAAGATTGTAGATTACGATTTTTTAGAAAATCTGTTTTCTCCCTTTTAAAATACAGTTTACTTTAATCATACGTTAGATGAGGGAATCAAGTTAGTCTTATTTGGCACAGTATGAGGATCTAGAACTTCGGAAAGTCAGGTTCGGAGGAACATTTCCAAGATATCCTTGGCCAGTTGGAACCGTCGCGTCGCCGCCTCGCCCGCGGGTACCGTCAGGCATCTCCCGCCGGCCTCGCCGCCCCCGCGACGAGACACGGTGAAGCCCAGGGACTGGAGGAGGAAACCCGGGCGGCGGTGCACGTCCCAGACGGACCGGACCAGGGCGTGGTCTAGAGACAGGGCGTGGTCTCCGGACTGGGCGTGGTGCCAGGAAGGGGCGTGGTTTGCAGTAGGTGACGAGGTGTCATGAGAGGACTGGATGAGAGGTGTCAACTGCAAGTACACGAAGATTGGAAAAGTGTCCGGTAGGTTATAGTTTTACCTTTTAAAAGGAATTTTTATTGTGTGATATTAACATAAGCTAAAACAAAGTTACAAATGCACACGCGCATACAGCGCGCATGCGCACAAGACTGTGGACGAAAGTAATCGCCCGTATGCGCACAAAATCTTTAGAGGGTGAAGTTAAAATGGAAGTAAAGGCACTTCCATGATTTTTCATTGCTCAGAAAATAATGTATAAACATGTTTCATTTTTTTTTACAGCTGTTTTGTGAGCTGTTTTGAATGTGCGCATGCGTAGTTGGATAGGAATACCAATCTAGCCTTAAGGAATTAATGAATAGACGATAATTATTCTTTTTTTCGCCGTTGTTATTTCTCAAATATCTACTTACAAGGGCAATAATTCGCTCCGTTTCTGTCCTCGACATGTTGGCCGCTGTCTTAATAGCGTTGTAAGGAAGTTCTGAAAACGATAAAGATATTTATGACATCAAATTTAAGACATATCTCTGAAAACTTAAGTGGCATTATTGATTTCGATAAAGATGACGTCATATTGACATTTTATTAGATTAAAGTTCATTACTTTCGAGAAATCCCCTAGAATTCCTCGCTTGGGAAAAAAAAACATGTGCGGGGACAGTACCATTTCAAAATGAGGGTACCCTCAACATGATAAACGTTTCAGTTTTAGAAACTAAATACTGGTTTCAGTTTTAAAAACTTGACGGATAAATATTTCTTACTGCATGACAAGTTTTGTGTTTTCTCTGTTTTGGTGCTGACATAATAGTGCCCGCGTTTTGGACTACTACAACAAAGTATCCCCCACATTAGATTGCGGGTCCGCGTGCAGTGACCTGCGGTCTTATTTTGTTGATAAACAGTTGACAGTCGTGGCCAATTATGAATCATCTTCCCTGAAGTCCATGTACTTTAGGACGCAAAACTTGTTGTCAGTGTCGTGAGTTAAAATGGATAGTTTACAAGTCTAGGTAGTCCGTGACTAGACCGGATACACGCTGTTATACACTGAACGAGACAAGACCGACTTGGCCGCAAAAAGATTGACTGACTCATTCTCTAGCCGCTATAAAGAGACTTGTACATTTCGGATTCTGAATATAGGGACTAGTCGTAGGTTTGGGAAGCAGCCAAAGTTCTTTTTTTCAAGAATTGTTGGGTTATCTTTTTGGTTGTTTACGGAAAGAGAAATCAGCGGAGGAAAATCCCGAAGTGACTCATTCGCCGGGGATCCCTGATTGTTTATTTTTTCATAAATTTCATTAAATTTCAAACCCCAAACCCGGATGACCGGAAAAAAAAATCAGAATTCGATTTAAAACATTGCGTGTATCACAACTGAGTCATAATTTTTGCCAATAATAAGGGGTACTGGTGACGCCTCGAATTAAACAAATTACGTCATGTGACATTACGTTTATAAAACAAAATGCACCAACCAAAATTCACGAAACTTTGCCATTTTCTTTTTAATTATTATAAAATTTCTCTGAAGACATGTGTTACTAAATTTCGTCAGAGGGCTGGACTTTAACATGGAAATGACGGTAGAGTTTCTTACCAAGCAAGCCGGTCAAGACATCGCGGTGTTTCATCAGTCGTCGAGGTGCCAGACCACGTGGTACGATCACGCACAACTCTCCCAATTCGTCCCCAGTATTGCCGTTGTTGTTGTTGTTGTTGTTTGCATTCTCCAAGATTCTGGCCAAGAAGTTGTACTGATGACCAGCATCATCACTGTTGTTGTTGTTGTTGTGGTTGAAGTTGTTGACGTGACTTTGGGAGAATTTGAACCCCACGCAGAGGATGAACTCGATCCAGGTCTTGAGACTGAGTACCGTGGGTCTGGGGACGCGGAGGGAGGCGAGACGGATGGGGTAGGCTTCGGTGTCTGACTCGTGCTGTCGACAAACGCGCAGACCTTCGTTTACCTGAAATCAAAGCCACACAAACTCAAGAACGAACCTGTTTTTAAAACTGAGCAACGTAAATCACGGAGTCTATAGATTCCCCTGCAAACGATTTATGGAAGAAAACTGCACTCTAATTGTTTTTTTTTTTTTTACTTTTATTTTTTTCATTGACGTAATTTACGGGCAACGATTCGATATAAGAAAGGGAGTGTATCTTAACAGCAAGGTTTTTATATTCAACCTGTCCCTTATTGGTCGAGTTTCTCCGCGCGACTAGAAAACCAAGACATTTAGAAAATTAGCTTAAAATCACAATAAATTCATGTTGAAGACAATCGTTGCTGTAAAATTCGCGTAATGATCTACAGCTCTCCAGTGAAACTTCTATAGCTCATTTGTTTTCATCATTTCTTTCACATTATCATTTTTTTTAATCATATCTGAGTTGTGTAAATAGACTGCCTTGTATAAAGTTGCTTTGCACCACAACTGACGCAGAAGCAATGGTTTTGTTGTGGAAAAAACTTGCGTAAAGTAATTTCACCTTTTTTGGAATATTATCTCTTAGATTTTTTACAAAATTTCTAATAAAATTGTTGCGAGTTGTGGCCCGGAAAGTGTTGTCGTGGAAGTCCAACAGCTATCTTACATAAACACATTGCCGGTCACAATACACAGCTGCGATAAGCCTGCCTATAGCATGACACATCGCCACGCCCATACCACGTCCGCCCATTGTGCAGTATTAAACTGGCTTCTCTGTCCTTTCCACTTTCACATGTTGTATAATACACTGCCTAAATACTGTACACGTACAATACATGCACTGAATGCCTACAATTAAAGAGCCATCGTGATCCGTAACGACATTTTATGTATATCCCACAGTAGACATTGACCTTGTGTAATAATCCAGGGAAGTAACATGAAGTTACTTCCCCCTCTCCAATGAGAGGAACAACACCGCGATAAACGACCACATCCTCCCGGGGAAAATTGAGGTAACTCTCCGGTTCCGCCATGACACTTCCCCGCTGCACAGCAGGAACACTGTCGGTGGATATTACCTCCCTTTTGAAGCATGTATGTAGTAAAACTCACAGAGTGGAGCACTTTTGAGTAAATGGTCTGCTGAAATTGATCCCTTCCGAAACCTCAAGTGCTGTACTCAATGAAATTCATGGAGTCAGTTTTAATTTGGGCTTCCGCATCAGAGGATATGCGACCTGGTTACATGAATTCACCACTCGTTAAACCATTAATTTTAAGCTGTCATATTCTTGTGTGAAACGTCCCATTTTTCTGTCACAGTTTTTGTCTTTGCTCGATCAATGTCTTATGTTTGGATTGATTGAGATTCTGTGAGATTATCTTCGTGCAAGATAATAATAGGCGTAAAAACAACCTGTTTCTTAGCGTTAGAACTTCGGCCTGGTGCCCTCTTCCTATACCTATCTCACTTACTGACTGACTGACTGACTCCCCGACTGGGAGCCGGGCAGTGCTATTGTATATGACAACGCCAGTGAATGGGCAAAATCTGGCCAATCGTGCAGACCAGATGCATGAAAATACTTCCTGGTGTATAGCAATTCCGAATCAATTGAATATAATGTTTTGTTTATGCGCTTATAAATAGGGGTCAGCTTTATAGGCCTGCCTTTTGTCTCACGTTTTTTAAGTGTGTGCAATATAGGCCTAAATGGTGTGTCAAACTTGAATTGTGTTAGAGTGATTAGGAATATTAAATTTCAATTTTTGTGACCATGAACACTCACGAGACATTGGAAGTGCGCCACTGTGGATTTGAAGTTCCCTTCCAGCGTGTACTGGATCACCCATCGCACGCACTGCGTCCAACTGCGCAAGCGCGGCTGGATTCTGGTGATGACGTCAGGGGATGACGAAACTGACGTGCTGACGATGGAGTCTAAAAAGAACAACAATTATTATTATTATATTTACTCTCAGATAATTGTAAAGTTAAATCAACAAGGTTGCGTTCAATAACAATATTGTAAACGTTGCTTGTTTTTTTTTTTTTTTTTTTTGGGGGGGGGGCGGTAATTTAATATTAAAACCGAGGTAGAAAGTTAACGTATAATGAACCGATTTGTTACAGTTATGTTGCTGGCAGCGTGTGTTGCTCCGAGAGCCAAATTTCAAGTTTGTATTTGAGAGGACAGTCTCCAATAGAGATTAACACCCGAGTCAGCCATTTTGATTCGATAGTCTCAAAACAGTCCCCCTCCTTCCTCTTTCCAAGGTTTTTTTTCTTACCTGAACTCGCACACCTGTGCCTGAGTCCTGAAAGATTCTCGACACTCCTTGGTGAGCTCAAGGTTGACGATACCGACGACAACCACAGCGAAAGCGCGGAAGATGACGTCGCGCACGAGGTTGCCAAGGGCGGTGATGGCCCGGGCGGAGCCGTGGGGGTAATGTGGGAGGAGGAGGACGACGAAGAGGTGGGCGTGGCAGATGCCGTTGAGTGGGCGGAGGAGGAGGATTCTGACGACGACGTCGATGTGTCGCTGCCCCAGCTCATCCGGTTGACGCTGTGTCGCCGCTCGACGGGTCTTCCGCCGCTGCGGGCGCTGCCACCACTAACGGACTCTTCGTAGGAAGGGGGCGCGTAGAAGTAGGCGGAGCACTCGCTGTAAGAAGGGGGCGGCTCATGGTCGAGGTCTGGAACGGTTTGTGCCAGTGGCCTCCTGTGAAGGCAAGCACACAATCAGGTTACATTGGCATTTTGCAGAATAGTCGGGTCAAACATAAGTCAAGCCAAGTACACATTCAAGTTTACAGTGGTCGAGTGTTCAGACGTCTATACGCTGGTAAGCAGAAGGCTGCTTGGCTTAACCTTTCCTTTGTGGAACATAATCCCTTGTATTTCTTATGCTGATATCCTTTTCAATTTTTCACTTGCTTGCGCTCTCTCTTTATCATACACAGCGCAAATCAACGAAGCACAAGTTTCCCAAAACAGTTCCAAGCGTGAAACTACTTGCACATCGCTTCGCAAGACCTTTCTGTTTTTTTGTGTGTGTTTTTTTTGTTTTTTTTAATAATATAAACCAATTAACATTATAGTTATAATCATTATTCATTCTAGCTGAACGTTATTGGCGTTGCACGCCAACCATGGCGGGTTGACGTTATAGGTTGCATGCCAACGTTCCGTATGCAACGTGGCATTTAGCACCCAATAAAAACATCATTCGTCAATGTCAACCTCCTTAATAAATTCAAGAATGACTTGTGAGTAATGCGTGAACTTTGTTATCCCATTTGGAAGTTGGTCAGCTTTTCCCCTGGACGATTCGGAGGCGGGAAATTGGGTTGGAGCTTGTTCAGCTTCCAATTTCCTTCGTGTCGGCTAAGGTCTCACGAACGTATGAATTTCATCACTGTATCTCAATGTTACGGTGCTCCATGGGTGCCATACCACTTATAGACCGCTTGCAGACGCGTTCGATAATTGTCGCGCGAAGGTGCACGACGCCATGTTGTGGGACAAAATGTGCATGGATAGATATGCGCTTGACCCACAACATGGCGTCGCGCGCCTTCGCGCGTCGATTATCGAACGCGTCTGCAAGCGGTCTATTTAGATACCGAGATAACTTATCAAGTCATGTTGACATACATGTACATGTTGTGGAAAGTCAGGCATGAGTGGTATGGCACTTATGGAGCGGCGTACGGGACAGCATAATAACATAAAATGACCTCCTTTTTTTCGAATAAGAAAGACATTAGGCCTATAGGCTTGTTTCGACGAGCGTTTTTACTTCTTTAACATTTGAGTAAACACTAGCCAGATGATGATACAACGATGATACCATTTTGACCATAGTAACTACGCAATGTATTGGGCAGTCTACAAATAGTGCGGTTTTTATGTGACCACGAAGGAATAAAAATTCCTCCATGTTGTTACTGTCCATGCGTGTTTGCACCTGATCGGAAAGATGTAAAGAACTTCGCCGGTGAGTCACGGTTTGGGATGTTCAGCGATGTTGTCATCTTGTTTTTTACGGTCCAGCTAGTAAGTGGTCAGGGTTTCAGGGTGCGGATAAAGAAGGGGGGACTATAGCTCTCGTTTTGTAACAGGAAAGTAGGAAAAATAAGAGAGAAAAGGGTAGAAACAGGATTTTGCTTGTTGCCGTGGATAACACATGCGCCACTTAAATCGTGATTTTGGGAAAGCCCAATTAACAAATTGCATAACAACATGTTAAAGATGCATGAAATGCAGTGAAGTTAAATAATTAATGTATACGAATGAATGGACAGGATTTAGGCTAAACTCATATTGATATTTTTTGAACATTTTAAAATTATATGACAATCTGTATTTAATATATTGCTACTTTACCCGAAGTAAAAAAAAACAAAAGTAACAGAATGCGAATAGCCCATGCATCATAAAGAAATTTCATAGTCCATGGCCTGTAACTTAAGTTCAATTTTTTTAAAAACAAAATCACACAAATTATTGCAACAGAACATGTAATCGCCTTCGTTGAATATGATGAATTCCGATTCTACAAAACAAATTTGACTTGTTGAAGCTAACTTAGGCACTTCAACCAATGTTTCTGTTAAATTTTGAAACAATGAATATATAGAGTTGGTAGTTTCAGTTTTCCAGACTATGCATTAAATCTTGGCATTCTCTCAAACTTCAAGTTCTCCAACCTTAACCGAAAATGATCCGATTCAGCTTTTCAACTTACCTTTTCTTGTGGCGTAGTGGGAGCCGTAGTCTCGCGTTAAATCGCGTGTTTCCTCGAGGATCCATCCTTAGATAAAAGTTGAATGTAATAGTCTCTGTCACCAACGTTTAGAAATTTTCTTGCTGCACACTTCCAAAGTAAGCTGCCACTTAGTTCCGATTCTAGCCGAGTTCTTGTGCGTGCGTTCCGTGCTTCAGCTCAGTGGGTTGTGAGCTGGACCCCAGTCGCAGCGCGGCTCTTATAGCTAGCTTGGATGACAGACTGTTGACACTGGCTATAAATCAGCCGTGATTATATTACCACACGCACCCATTGTTACTCGTGTGGCGCGTGCGCGGAAGTGTTTGGGTGACAAGCTTACGTTGGCTCTTCGTTTCCCAGAGGGGTTTCGACCTAGGTGTGAAACCTTTTGAGAGTACTTCTGAGAACTCAAAACATACGATTCGCAAAAATGTTTCAAATATTTCTGAAAGTATGAAATCCAATAAAGGAAAAAAAACCAACCAACCTTCAACTGAAATTGGCCACAAATAGTAGAATATGTCACCGTACCCGTGAGCAATACTGTCCTTGTTTAACCATGGTTTAACTTATTTCCGATATGAAAATCATCCAAACAGATCTTGAAGTTTAATGAGCGCGAGTGTTCTGGAAAATACATCTAGGGATGTGAATATCATTAAGGAACACAGATTATGAACAACAGGACCACTTACTGTGTAGTTTCACAGAAGTCTATATGCCCACGCCTGTTAAACCCATTTTGTGGCTGCGATGAGTATTTGGTCAACAACCGATTCAATTAGCCGTGCACATGGTTTAGAAATCATCATGGATGAAGTTTTCATTATTATGAAAAGGGAATTTGATGACCGCGAACAATGGGATCTTTTGACAGAACATTTACACAGGAAGTCAAAATTGCATGTACAAAGAAGATCTCTGTTGGTATTAGAAAATTTCATCAAGAAGTTGTTGCGGTGAATGTGCACCGGACGGGGTCGTGTTTATGGGTTTGCATCACCTTTTTCCGGTGAAGCTTAAAGAGACATTAAATGTGTTGCCGCTGCTAAAACAGCAATAATATTATATGTTTTAAAAGCACTCACAGTCAACTTTACATTTTCTAATAAAATTAATTTCGAAAGAAACCGTGGAACGCCCAACCACACTCGTGCTTCCCACTTTAACCCACGGTCCTTCAAGAGCTTCATCAATATTAAGCTCGATCTGTTTAAATCACTTTCTAAGTCTTATTTCTTGTATTAAGAGTCCTTTTGAAGTTGAACTATATGCACTTCCTGCATGCCTTTTCTTGGTATTATCGAGGCCCACTAAAAAAAAAAATATTTGATCGATATTCTGAGGGATAAGCCTGAATCAGGCTGCCTGTTTTAATCATTTGTGTCTCTATAATGTTTTTGTCTGAACGACTTTTTGAGCAAAGGTTTTGCATTCTATATGCCATTTAATATAATATTGTATATAGACATTTCAAAACACTACGTTATTATTACCCCTGTTCATCTGGCCTACAATACATTCCTATAAGCTCTCTTGGGATGATATACAGCTAGCAAGAAACAGGTAAACATCTTGACTTAGATTTTGTTTTTCATTCATTTGATTTTCACAGCTGCAGCAATGTATGGAAGAATTAATGAACTTCTATTTCATGGTGTGAGCTGGCTGGCAAAATATGGACGGAAGGAAATACAGACGGAAATTGCATCTCCATACCAAACTGTCTTAACTCCAGACGTCTGCCATAAATCACATTCACAACCATGTTTCCTGTCACGTTCACGTGTAGTTCACATTTTGCATGTACAATGTTCTCATGAGCTTGTCCTCCAAAGAACTAAAATTAAATCGATTTCCAACCGAATAACCCAAACGAAGAAGTCATGACTCCCCCCCCCCCCCACCCCACCCGGCAAATCATCCGTGTGCTTTTCCAGCGATTCCGCGCAGTTCTCCTCCATTAACATAATATTTTCGTTACCGATTTCCAGCCAGAATATTATAAATAGTGCTCAGGCTGGCAAATGAAACTTGACCCCCAGTGGAACGCTTTATTTATCTGACTTCTGATTCATATCCTTAAAACCCGGTTAGACACGTGTAGCTCCATCTATTTTCAGCGCATGAGCAAGACTGTGTTTTTCTCCCGAGGTAATTAGTTGTGCCTCACAGAACGAAGGACGTTCAGCTACCTACCCAAGAGGGGTCGATCTTGTACCCGGAACATCATCTTAATTATTGACCTCGAATATACTGTTCCTATTTAGTAGGAATCGCACCCAACACTTACCTAGAACTCAGGGTCAACAGAGGTTTTCTCAAGGTTTAAACCATAAACCAGGTTCCCTACGGTTTTCGTTTGTTTCGTGTGATGAAGGCATTTTGGCGACCACAGTTTGTATTCTTGCTAATTGTAAATCGGAGAACTCAGGAAGTGAAATTTGACCATTCCAGTGTATGCGATGCAGCAATAATATGGGAAGATTGGGACGTTACTAGGGGGGGGGGGACACGTGCCCCCCCCGTAACCCCCCCCCCCCCCCCAGTAACGCCACATTAAAACTCTTAAATTGAACAAAAATATGTAACATTTGGCACCTAGAATAATGTGTGTGCACCCCAGTGGTGCCCCCAGAAGTTTAACCCCTAAATACGCCACCGTTTTCAATAAAAAAAAAAGAACAAATGTCTTACTTTTGAACAAATTAAGGCCTTCAGTTACTTTTACACACTCCTGAAATAGTCCCAAACCCTTTTCCTCAATTATGAACTGAAGACACCGTAGCTCTACTGAATACGGGTACGAGAGCGCCCCACACCGCATATCCGAGAAAGGTCATGGTTTAATCTCTGCGTAAAGTGAGTGCAGGTTTTTAAAACATGTACTTTAAGTTTGAGTTTAGAGTCCTTTTCATTTTTCACACAACGAAGAAAACCCACAAGGCTTGAGAACTTTTCTCATGCATGAGAAAATGTCATCATTTGTAAAAGACCATCAACTCCAAAGACTGACGAGACCGACGTCGATCGCGAATTTATCCCCATGTATAGGAAAGCCAACCACGATAAAAGACAGTGAGAAATTTTGCTAATTGATTTGACAGAAAATAAGTGCTGACGGATCATTTGAGGAACGAAGATGAGTAATCTGGTCCAAGCACAGTCTTACGTTTTGTAGAACCACTTTAGTAATTTTGTCCCAATAGGAGTGGTGTGAAAGGTTACTGTGTCCTCGATCTACTTGTAAACCTTTTCGCAACAGTTGCTGAACTGATTGAACTACCTATATCCCCCTCCACCCCAATCACCCCACCAGATTCAGACAGTATAAGTCTCGATTAATTGTTGTTCCAAAAAAATTGGAATTTACTGCCAAAGGGTCTGCTTCCTGTTAAAGTCCGAGAAACAAACCCCGGACAATCGAAACCTCGAAATCAGGCGACGTTGCGGGAGAGTGTGTATGGTCGTACGATCCACTCCAATGAACAAAATACTGATGAAGAAGTTTGACGAACGATTGACAAAAACACTCCAAGCCTGTATCAATAAAGTTGTTCAAGTTTATGAGCATTGCTAGGTGACAAAAGGGGGTCTGTGGGGTCAGTGTCATGGGTGGAATTTTCGGCTCGGTTCAGGGTACTCGAACGGCAGCACTGTTTGCACAGCTAGCTATCCGTGTTACGAGTACATTGCTCGCGCGTGAGTGACAGTTCGTGTTTGTTTACTCCAGAAATCTGTGTCAAGTCAATGACCTTTCAACCGCGTATTTGCATAATTAATTAACACGCACGTGGGCCGATTTAATCGCAGTATCTGGGTTGATTATGTTCATGTATTGCTGCATGGCAGTTTTGTTTTCAATGGTTGTTCGCGGGCTTTCATACACGTACATGTTTATGTCTATATTATGTCATTCGCTCAACTCATAAAGAAATGATTAGAGGTTTTACAAACCCTGGCCTCGTTCCAGCTTCGGATTTATTTCCCAAATCCAATGTGAATACATGTAGTCTAAACTAATTTGGACTATCATTTTAGTCATTCCCGAAGCAAAACATGTACATAATATTGAGCACAAGGCTTGCACGTTGGGGCCTAAAAATCTCCTGAAGGCGAAGCTGCAGATGAGGCTGAGATTTTGAAAAACATCAATATAGAGATATAATTTCACACTTTATATGGTAGAGAAGTTTTCGATATGCTATTGATTTACTGCACACTTTCTATAACCATAGGAATCGTAAAGTCATTTACTCACATGTGTGTATTTTAACCATTTGGGTATGCTTATAACATACATGTGTACATAAGTATTACGAGTGCTCACAGCATGTGTGCCGATTTTCGCGAGTTTCTGTTAGTTGGAATTCGTTTACGCTTCAGTGATTCTGAAATGAAGTTCGTTTCCGCTGCGGTGAGTTTATTCCGAATACCATAGCGAGCCGTCATGACGAAACTGTCATATTGTAAGGGATATTTTAACCGTACTTAGAATCGGAACAACTTGTTGTAGTTATGGAATACTTAGAAATGACATGAAAGAACTTTGCCCTACATGCAAATCTGCCACCGTACAATGCTTTTCTTCTTGGGATAAATTAAGCCGTAGGTCACCGCTTTTTTAAAAGGTTGTTACTATACTGTGTTGTCAACGTTAAATGATTTGTTTAACTGACGACTTATTATAGTTGAAGCAACATGTCAAAAACTGGACCAACCGCAACGCGGTGACCGATAACAAACTTCTGCTTTTGTTACGTGCTGTCGTTGGTGGCGCTGTTGCGAGTGTCGTTCGCACGGCACAGAGTTCCTGATTGTGTACTTTTGCTTTTGTCGATGTGTGGGCGCGTGGTTGCATTTGAATGTCTTTCCTCCTAATTTGTGTAGACGGGTTCCAAGTAGCGGACCAGATCTGAAATGTTGAATGGCGTAACTGGTTGAATAAGTAACAGGTATGATTCATCATGTTTATGATCACACTGAGTGTCCCGTTTGTTATGCAATGACCACAATACGGACGTAAGCTCCTTTCTCGGTAATCGTACCGCAACAGGTATGTGACCTCGAGGTACAACATCACTTTCCTCACCTCATACTCGGGGAAACCCCCATTTGACCATTACGTCAGTTGTTGTTGGTTCGATGAGTCGTGATGACTCCGAGACTAGACTATTTAGAAGAAAAAACCCCCGAATTAACATGTGTTTAAACATACCCATGAAAATCGGTATACGTTTGACAAAACGTATA